GCATGGGCCCCCCCACCCCCCTGCCGCTCAGGCCTGCTGGGCTGCCGCCTCACTCCAGCTGTCCCTCCACCTCTACCCCAGAGAGGGTGTGGGAGGGCTCAGCCCCCAGGTGTTTCTATCCCTGGCCCAGGGCTTTAGAGTTTGAGCTAATCAGATGAGCAGTTTGCTTTATGCTTCAGGACACAAGTCCTCAGCCAAAACAGCACAGTCTGGGGGCGGCAGCCTCCCCTTCATTCCAGGGGCTCCTTTCTTGAACCTCACATGGGCCTGTCCCTGGCACACAGTGCTGAGGCTTGGCATTTCTTTTCAGTTTTTACCTGTGGCACACACATTGCTGTGAAACCAAGGGGAATCCATCGAGTGGCGAGCCATAGAGTGGGGGATCCTCTTACTCTAAGACCAAGTTAACCAACGGGCAGGACGAAGCGCAGCAGACCTCTCCTGTCTCCCGGCAGCCCCCTCAGCAGTGTGTTTCAGTAGATCCGCCTATTCTGCTCCTCATTCTGTCTCTGGTGAATCCTCTCACCCAGCCTCCCACACCTCTGGCCTAAACTCCAGTTGTTGTATGCATAAGTAGATTTTTTAAAAGTAATAAATCTTTAAAACAAAAATGTGTTTAGAACTGTGAAGCTTCATGGTATCCAAGAATCCCCACAGCCTGTTTAGCCACCGTCTACTGCGACCTCAGGGGCTGTTCAGTGGGTTGGGTTTTTCTGCAAGACATTAGTCAATACTGTGGTAATTGGGTGTTGAGAAGGCAGTCTGAAGCTGCCTTCCCAGGGGGTGACTGTACATGCTGATGGGGTGACCTTAAATGACACTGTCACCCCCCACACCTCTGGCCTATACCCCAGCTCTTGTATGCATAAATAAATAAATCTTTAAAAAAAATGGCATTTTGTGGTAAGGTTTGTAGTTGGATTCTAACCGTTGGACTGCAGCTTCCCAAAGGAAGTAAATTATCATCATATTAAAGGTGATCGTGTAGATGAAACGTTAATTAAGTGGAAGTTATGATGTTTTTTCTTCATTCCCTAATAACTCATCTTCAGAAAATGTAATCACAAATTGCTTATTAAGGAAAAAAATGCAGCTGTTTTGCTGCAATGAAGATAACAGGCCTTTTTCCTTTTTAAAGATTTTTTTTATTTATGCATACAAGAACTGGGGTGTAGGCCAGAGGTGTGTGTGTGTGTGTGTGTGTAGGGGGGGGTGGTGGTGACAGGATTCACCAGAGACACAGTGGGGAGCAGAATAGGTGGAGCTACTGAAATCCACTGCTGAGGGGAGCAGCGGGGAGATAGGAGAGGTCTGCTGTGCCTTGAGGGTCAGCTCCCTGGCTAGGGATCACAGCTCACAGTGCAGTAGCTGGTGATAACTTGACAGCGCTGAGACTTTAACCCCTGTGCCATCAGGGAGGCCCCGACAAACCTTTTTTCAAAGATCAATTAAGAAATTCAAATGTTGGGCCTCCCCGGTGGCGCAGCGGTTGAGCGCTGGGTTGCGAAGCTGCCGGCGACCTCTGCGGCGCTGGTTCGATCCCCGGCTGCTCCCCGGCCACCGGAGGAGGGTCCCACATGGCGCGCAGACCTCTCCTGCCGCCCGCTGCTCCCCTCAGCAGTGTACTTTGGTCCTTCTGACTGCTCTGCTCCCCGCTCTGGCTCTGGTGAATTCTCTCACCCTCCCGCGCTTCTGACTGTACCCAGTGCATGTATAAACAAAACGAACAAACAAACAAACCAACAAACAAACAAAAAAAAAAATGCCTCTATAAAAAAAAAAAAAAAGAAATTCAAATGTATAAAAGATCTAACTGGGCAAGGAATTTGATGTATAAAATTTTTACATTTCCATTTCTTTACTCCTTTAAAACATATGGTTTAGTTACAAGACATAGGATTTATTTAGATAGCAGAAAAATGTCAGATTATATGACTCATATCCTACCTAAATTTTCCCTTTGGAAATTTTCCTCTGAAAGATGAGTAATTTTATTTGCGCTGGATCAGTTCTACAAGTTGATGCAGTTATGGATTTGAAATAGAATTCAGTTGGTAGTTGTATGATTCATCCCAATACTTTAATACAAATTTGAAATTATGTAGAAAATTTCTAGCGGTCTTCATCGCTAATGAAATATGTAATATAAGCCAGATTTTCCATCCTGAAGAGAACTAGAAGTCCCCCAAATTCCACAAATCAAAGAAGGCAAAAATGTAAATGATGAGCTTGACACTGATTAAAAGCAAAGTTCTAAGATAGATTCTCAGATGGTCTGTGAGCATTTAGAAAAGGGGTCAGCACCAGAAGCCAATGGATTCAATGCAAACAAATTTTGCCAGATAATTCGACATCCTATTAAAACAGGGTTTTTAGACTAATGAATTTGCAAAGTTGGTATAATATGTATGAGAATCCAAAAAGATGAAAACAATTGAACTACTCAACAATAACAGAGTGTGCCTGGATTCTATTTACTATGATGTAATTTACTGTGACTTTACACATTCAACAAATATTTTTGAGCACTTACTTTGTTTCTTGACACGTCACCTCCTTTGGTACAGTTCTCTTGGTGAGGCAGGGAATTACTCTGAGGCAGTAGCATGTATGGCTTAAGCAAAAAGACTTGGCGCCAGAGAGCACGTGTGCAAATCCTGTCGCTTAAATGGCTGTGTGGCCCTGAGCCACTAGCCCTTCGCCTCATGTTGCTCATCTGTAAAATGGGATGATAATAATGGGTTGTGGGAATTAAACAAGCTAATCTTAGAAAAATCTCTGGCTCACACAAATGCTGAGCATCAGCTGTAACACTGCAGTTCCCCAAACCAAGATCTGAGTCTAAGGTTGTCTGATGCCTACTCTGTGCCCCCACCATGATAAAAATTAAAAAGTTGTGTGGCAGTCTTTTTAAAAAATATATATATTTATGCATACAAGAGCTGGGGTGCAACCAGAGGTGCACGGGGGTGAGAGGATTCACCAGAGACAGTGTGGAGAGAAGATCAGGCAAATCCACTGAAATGCACCACTGAGGCTTTAGTGAGAGGGACAATAGGGGTCTGCTGAGCCACATGGGTCAGCTCCCAGGCCAGGGATCCAACTCATGCTGCAGTGGCTGCTGATAGCTACATAGTGCTGAGACTTAACTCCTAGGTCACCATGGAGGCCCCACCCCCCTCTTTTTTTTTTTTTTTTTTTTTTTTAAAGTAAAAGCAAAATTGGTCAAGGCTTTTTCACTGGTCCAGCTTCTTCTTTGCTTTAGAGATTGCAATTTAGGTACAACATCAAGGGCACAATTACTGAAAGAAGAAATTATAAAGTTGGACTTCATTAGAATTAAGAGCTTCTGCTCTGAAAAAGACAGTCAACAGAATGAGAAGATAAGCCACAGACTGAAAGAAAATAATATTGTAAAAGACATAGCTGAGACAAGACTATTATTCAAAATATACAAAGAATGCCTAAAACTCAACAAGGAAATGTAAAGCTCAGTTTAAATATGGGCAAATGATCTGGACACCTCACCACAGATGATTTACAGACAGCAATATAGATGTATTTGTCCAACACCACACACCAAGACACTGTAAATTAAAACGACAGTAAGACACCACTATCCACCCATTAGAATGGCCAAAATCCAAAACACGGACATCAAATATTGGTGTGTGGACAGAGCAACTAACAGAAATCTCGTCCATTAGATGGCAGTTTAGAGGGAAGCCTTTTGTCACCTGAAAGGGGGAAGGTAATTAACATTTGAATTAACTATTCTTTTTGAAGAAAACAATTTCATTCAGAACACTTAAGGGAGTCTTGTCTTTGCACTGAGTAAAGATGCAGAAGTATAAGACAAAGTCCATTTGAATTGAGTTTATCTGAAGCCCAGCGCCATTCGTTTTCTACTACTAAGCTGGTTTGCAGGAAAGGGCAGACTATTTCAATAAAAGCCAAGTTCATTTCTGGGGAGAAACAGAAATTACTAAATGCTCACCAAAAGAACCCGAACACTTAAATGAGCTTAATAGTCAGGATTCTTGTGCAACTGTGTTATAAACAAATTTATAATGTGAAAGAGCTTAAACGGCCTGTACCCTGTAATCCTCCACCTGTTTTGAAATTCAATTAACTCAGCATTTCTGTTCACTGTCCTCATACTTCACAATTCCTGTTTGCAGACTGTTGATCACGGTCCCATCTCAGTCTTGCTCCCGCGGCTCCTTCTGGTGCCCACTTTCCCTTTCCCCCAGGTACCATGCCGGTCCTCATCACCAAAGGTTTACTTAACTGAAATCTCACTCTACAAAGTGATTTCCACCTTTAACCATCCCCGTTAAACAGCATCCTCAGATGGTGCTTATCAGTGTGTGGAATACTCTTGTTTAGGTTTTCGTTGTTTGTCTCCTGCAAGGAGAATACAGATCCCCGAGGAATATCCGTTTATCCAGCACCGAATTCCTGGGGCACCGGCGGCCACGCGCAGAGCCCGAGGAATCCACACACGGAGTCCGTGGACGGCGGGAGGCGCAAGCGGAGCCCACAGGGAGATAAAGACGCGTGAGACAGCAGCGGGCCGGGGCCCATGGCCGCGGGCGGAAACCAAGCGCCGGCGCGCACGACGCCGCCCCGTTCGGCCGCCCCAGGCGCCGTTTCTACGCCTTCTCGGGCGCCAACGATTCGTCCCGCGCTAGTGGAGGCCCGGCCAACAGCAGCTCGACGCCAGCACTCAAAACGCGGGCCCGGGGCGCCGCGGCCTCCCCGCCCTGACGGCGGCCTGGGCCCGCGCCCCTACGCCTCGCATCGGAACGAGCTGCGCTTTCGGCTCCAACTCGGCGGCGGAGCCCCGGTTCCTCCAGCCCGCCCGGGCCGGCGGCCGGCGATGACGTCCCAGTCCGCGCCGCCGGCCCGCCATGACGTCCCGCGAGGACGCCCCGGCCGGCGGCCCCGCCTCGCGTCGCGCCGCGATGACGCAATCCGCGGCGCCGGGGAGGCGGGAGCGCGCGAGGGGCCGCGCGTGGGTCGGCGCGCTCGGCGGCATGAAGGAGACGCCGCTCTCCAACTGCGAGCGCCGCTTCCTGCTCCGCGCCATCCAGGAGAAGAAGGTGAGGGCCCGGTGGGTTTCTCCCTGGCGGCGACGGCCGGGCCGGGGGGCGCCGCCGCGGGGGCGCGGGCCGGCGCGCCACGGGTGACTTGCCTTGCAGCGGCTGGACGGCAGGCAGACCTACGACTACCGGAGCCTCAGGATCGCCTTCGGCGCGGACCATGGCTGCTGCGTCGTGGAGCTCGGGAAAACCAGGTGCCGGCGCGCTCGCGCGGTGTCAGCTCGCGGCGAGGCTCCGCGGACCCTCGCCGGTCGTTCGCACGGCGGCTCAGGCGCCTCGGGGTTTTGTTCTGCCAGAAATAAGCGCATGTTCATCGAGGCAAGATCTTTTGGGTTTATAGTCGTAAATTTTCTGCGCCGCGAGTATCGCGCGGCTCCTTCCGCCGGCGCAGCCAGCGGGGGCTCGGCGGCGGGGCCTGCGCTGCCCGCCCCGGTGGGAGGAGCGTGCGGTCGCGACCGCCGGGCCCTGAGCGCTCCTGCTTTTCCCTTCCTGAGGACGTGAGAACTGGGTTCTTAGTACACTTTTGGGCGTGGTGAGGGTGCTTGATCACAGTGTTGGTGAACCATGCCATATGTAAGCCTAAGGAATCTCAAGGTCAAGTTTTTCAAAAATCCGTGGAACAGTAAATATTGCAGTCCCTTGCGTCTTCCTGTCATGTCTGTGTGTGGCAATATGTATTTTGTTTTTATACTGTACCTTATATAATGTCGACATCGTATATATGATGAATGTGGTTACACAATAAGATTGAAACTTAATTGGTATCTATTTTGGATTTTTTTTAAAACTGGAAAGGAATTAGATTTAGCTAACAGATTCATACTTTATCTTTGCAGAGTTCTTGGACAGGTTTCCTGTGAACTTGTTTCTCCAAAACTCAATAGGGCAACAGAAGGTATTCTTTTTTTTAACCTTGAACTCTCTCAGATGGCTGCCCCAGCTTTTGAACCTGGCAGGTATTTAAATATTATTCTTAAGCTGCTTTAGCCCGAGGAGACCCTAACAGTAACGAGCCTTAGTTTAATGCCTGCTGTCCTGGGTCATGACATGCCCATTCCTCTTTTTCACAGGCAGTCAGATCTCTTGGTGAAGTTGAATCGACTCTTGGAAAGATGTCTAAGAAATTCAAAGTGTATAGACACTGAATCTCTCTGTGTTGTTGCTGGTGAAAAGGTGGGGACTTGACCCAAAATTTTTTATCTTAGGATGCATGTTGTTGGTTTTACCCACCTCCTCATTCTCAGAGTTTCAGTTAATTTCATACCGGTTCCCTTCACTTCAAATGTTCCTGAGTGCTACCTGCATAGCTTTGTATCATGTCTCTCCCTCTGAAGAGACCAAAAAAACCCCAAACTGGTGAAAATAGCAATTTGAATTTGTGTTAAAATGCCTCATTCAAAGAACTTGTGGCTTTTTATATATTCTCAATCATTTCACATTATTGAAGTTATTAGAAGAAGCAGGTGGTGTTTTCTCTTTTAATAGAGGAAGAATTGAAATGCTTCATTTGCTTGATTCATTTTTATGTCACTACTCTGTAAATCAGTAATAGTCTCACATCAGAGATCTTAGTCTCAATAAATTGTGTTTTGGGATAACTTTATGTTTGATTAGGGTATTTTGACCATCTTTTTGACTCCAGAAAAATCACTTAGCATCTCCACATTCCATATTTGAGTATGATACTTGTTTGCAGTACTTGGAAGGTTATCATAAATTATGTCAAGTGAAGCCTAGGAGTCTACGATTTTTAAGTGTAATTGGGCTTGGAGTCAGTGGTAGCATTTTATGTAGAGTGGTTCTCTTTTTCAGTCTCTAGTTTACTCTTGTCAGGTGACGCATAGAAAGGTGATCTGTTGGTATTTAGATGTTTGTCTGGCTTAAAACTTTGCTAAGCATAGTTGTCGATATATTAGCAGGAGAAAAAGCATGTTTTAACAGCGTGAGAACAGTTCACATTCAGTGTTACTTTTCTCATAGTCAGTGGTTGTGATCAGTTAGGATTAATTTTTGTTTTAAATTCATGTTCAGGTTTGGCAAATACGTGTGGACTTACATTTATTGAATCATGATGGAAATATTATTGATGCTGCCAGCATTGCTGCCATTGTGGCCTTATGTCACTTCCGAAGACCTGATGTCTCTGTCCAAGGAGATGAAGTAACACTGGTAAGGCCCCATGACGTGGTCCAGGCTCTTTCCTGTGAATGAATGAATTACAACTCAATATTAGGGGAGTCCACTGGTTTTCATCAAGTGAGCTTTCCTGAAGGGATCAGGCTGGTGCTTCTGTTGAGTACCTTGACTTTCTTTCTTTTTTTTTTTTTTTAAGATTTATTTATTTATGCATACAAGAGCTGGGGTACAGGCCAGCGATGCGGGGGTGGGGCCAGGGGTGAGAGGATCTACCAGAGACAGAGTGGGGAGCAGAACAGGCAGACTGACTGAAATACACTGCTGAGGGGAGCAGCGGGCGAGACAGGCGAGGTCTGCCTCGCCATGTGGGTTTCTCCCTGGCTGGCCGGGGATTGAACTTGTGCTGCAGAGGCTGTGGATTGCTTCACAGTGCGGTGCTTAACCTCTTGCGCCACCAGGGAGGCCCTCTCCTTGACTTCTTTCATTGATCATTTTCCTTCACAATTTTTGGGAAGTTATTTTGGCTCTTAAGTGTTTAATATGCTTAATATCAGCATTAATTCTCTTGGTAAGAATTGTCCATAAGTCTCTTTACAGCAATACCAGCTGCATGCTGGGTAACTCTTTAGACTGTCCAAATGTTGCCATGGTAACGTTTGTGGGACATTCCATTTCGAGCAGTGTCCCTTGATGATTACAGTGTCAACTTTCTTATAGATTTGTACATGTAGGGCCAAAGGGACAACTCTGTGTTTTCTGAAAAGGCCTTTGTGTTTTGGTGATTTTGGTGAATTACTGGAAGAAGGTGGTTCTGGTCAAAAGGCTAAAATCTCTCAGATTTTCTGTATTGACATATTTGTCAATAAAAGCACACCCTACCCTGCTTTTTTGGAACAGAACAAACTGCCTTCTTTGGATTGAGCATTAGATGTGGTTGGCTAATGGTTAGGGGCCCCATGTGTGGAAATCCGTGATCGTTAGCACAGTGAGAAGTCCATCGCTAACACTGGGAGACTTGTGAGAACACAAATCTCAGGGTCCCACTTGAGTGGAACCTCAGAATCTGCACCCTGGTACTGCCAGGTGGTGCTGATGGTGTTGGCGGAGGGCCCACATTTTGAAAACTATTGAGCTATACTACTGGTTTCTTTCTGTTTTGTGCTGCCGACAACTTCAGTTTCTGTCAGCACTAGAACACTGAAAGTGTGCTGGGGTGGTAGTCTTGAGTCCTGAAGTTGCAAAAGGAAGCATTAGATGCACAAATTTCTGAGGCAGTCTTTCCCAATACTGCTGTTCTAGAGTTGGACTAAAGCAGGCTTTAAGACTAAAGAGGTAGGGGGCCTCCCCAGTGGTGCAGTGGGTTGAGCACAGCGCTGTGAGGCTGTCCTCAGCCTCTGCAGCACGGATTCTATTCCCAGCCAGCCAGGGGGAAACCCACATGGCACGGCAGACCTCTCCTGCCTTGCCCACTGCTCCCCTCAGCAGTGTCTTTGGTCCACCTGCCTGTTCTGCTCCCCACTCTGTCTCTGGTGAATTCTCTCACCCTCCTGAGCCTCTGACCTGTACCCCAGTTCTTGTATAAATAAATAAATAAATCTTTTTTTTTTTTTTTTTTAAGAGCTATTTCTTTAAAAAAAAAAATAAGACTAAACAGGTGGGGCCAAAGGTTATCTAACAATGGAGACATGTTCCTTTAGAGAAAGAAGTTGGTGTAAGGAAGTTAAAGTAGAAAGCAATTAGTAGATGAAAATGACATCAATTAAATTCTGTAGTTATAGCTGTTGGACAGTGGCTCAGCCACATTGGAAAAGTTTGGCAATTTGTTAGAGTTAAGTATAAACTTAGACAACCCAACATCCCCATGCCTAGGAATCTGTTCAGGAGTAATGAAATGGTGTGAATGTGGATGTTGTGTGTGAATGTCCAGAGCATTTGGAAATAACCCAAATGTTCATCAGCTGATGAATGGCAAAACAGGATGGTACATCCACACAATGGAATACTGCTCAGCAGTAAAAATGACTGATGTGTGCTCAGGAATGGAGGAAACATGCTCAGTTGAAAGCAGGAAGAGGCAAGAGATTGTTTGAGTCTATTTCTGTGGGTGATTTATGGAGACGTAAAGGAGATCACTTTTGCTGAAGGCTGGGTCTGGGGTTGAGCATTAATGCAAACAAGCTCGAGATTTTATGGGTCATGGAAATGTTTAAAAAAACAGGATTGTGGGCCTCCCCGGTGGCGCAGCGGTTGAGCGCTGGGTTGCGAAGCTGCCCGCAGCCTCTGTGGCGCCGGTTCGATCCCCGGCTGCTCCCCGGCCACCGGAGGAGGGTCCCACATGGCGCGCAGACCTCGCCTGCCGCCCGCTGCTCCCCTCAGCAGTGTCCTTCGGTCCTTCTGCCTGTTCTGCTCCCCGCTCTGGCTCTGGTGAATTCTCTCACCCTCCCGCGCTTCTGACTGTACCCAGTGCTTGTATAAACAAAACAAACAAACAAACAAATAAATAACATGCCTCTAAAAAAAAAAAATTAAAAAAAAAAAACAGGATTGTGGTGGTAGTTACTTAACTATAAATTTACTACAAAATGAACCATGTGCTTAGAATGAATGGATTTTATGATATATAAATCATACCTTAATAAAGCGTTTTGAAAAATAATGTTTTCAGGAACTTGAGTAGCAAAGTCAAATAGGTAATTGTAAAGAAAGCGACTTAGATATTCCCTGGCGTTTAACTCTTTAATATCTGATGTGCAAAGTGACTTTTTCCTGTGGCTGTCACTAGTGACTATGATTACTGAACCTTTTGTTTTCACACAGTACGCACCTGAAGAGCGTGACCCTGTACCACTGAGCATCCACCACATGCCCATTTGTGTCAGTTTTGCCTTTTTCCAGCAAGGGTACGTTGCATCATCGAATATGAATGCAGTTGTTCTACTCAACTGTGCCGTGGACAAATGAATGAGCCCTCCTTTGATATATGTTAAATCACCTCCCTTCCCACCTTTGTAAGGGCATCGATGGGCAGGGAGCTTACTGAGCAGACGTGGCCTGCTATTCTATAGGGAGATCTCTGACTTTGTCTTCACAGTACGCAGAAGGCTCCATGGATTTACTGTCATGTGGTAGGGCTTTATCTTTCTTAGAGATGTCCACATGTTAAAAGAGTTGTGTGCAAAGCTCAAATTTGAGGAAGTGGGGTGGGAACTCTCGTGCACTAATGGGAGACAAAGCACTTTGTCCACTGTCACACTATGGAGAGATGGAGTAGTTTGAAAAGTAGGAGGAAATAGGAGCTAGGAGGAAATACCTAACTTCCTTTACCGCTCTAGTGGTTTCTTCATAACTCACTGTCAATTCCTCCCACAACAGAAAACCTAGAGTCTTAGGTCCACATAAAGGTGCCTTAGATATCTTTCAAAACAAAGGGAGTTATAAATAAAATATTTTAACAATTTTGTGAAACAAGAATTAGAGAAACATTTTCAACGTTTAGTCATTGTGGTATAGAATTTCATAAGAGGGAGAGCAGCACAATCTAGTGGAAATACATGCGCTAATATAGGGAATGATAAAAGTTTTCATTGGCCACATTTCACAATTAATTTTGATATATTCTACTTTTACCCACTACCAGTAATCAGTAGCTTTAGACTTATTCATGAGATATTTTATGTAATCAGTACTTTTAAATGAGGTATTTTACATTCTTTTGTTTCTGCTAAATATTTGAAATCTAGTGTTTCGCATTCTTAGTATGTCTCATGCTGAAATAGTGACAGTTCAAGGGCTCAGTAACCATGTGTGATGGGCTGGAGAGATGGTTTGTTTTTTTTTAATGCCCTGTGAGCTTAACCAAGAACCGCAAAATATAGGCCATTAAGAAAACTTAATCAAATTAATGTTAACTAAGTTTTCATTAGTGAGCCATACCCATTTAATCAGAGTGAGAGCTTTGGGTGAAAGCAGTATGAACTCAATGGGATCTGACTGTAATAGTGAGCAATACCCACTGAGCCTTCATTGGTCCACAAACAGTAATACTCTTGTCTCTTATTCCATTAAAATGACTCGAATCTGTAGGCTCAGACCTTCACTCTTTTGATTTTATTAATGCCGTTTTTGTAAGATATTAGCCTAACCTGAGACTAGCATTCAGCCTCGGTTTGCTCAGGTCCATTTAACATTCATTTCAGAACGTATTTATTGGTGGATCCCAGCGAACGCGAAGAACGTGTGATGGATGGACTGCTGGTGATAGCTGTGAACAAGCACCGGGAGATCTGCACCATCCAGTCCAGCGGTGGGGTGATGCTGCTCAAAGATCAGGTCAGTGCTGACGAGCAGTCCAGTAGGTGTTTCTTCTTCAGAAACATTTGTCTTAACCAAACCCAAGGGAGGTATTTTCATTGATTGATTCTGGGACTATTAGGATCTGATTTCAGTATCGTCGCTACCCTGTTGGCTGGTGGCTGCCAGGTGCTCCTCTTCCTTGCTGCACAAGTGTTTTGCCCTCCAGAATCTATCCCTATAGATAGAGGAGCACTTTCTCCCTTCCAGTGAGGAAAGACATTCATAACCTATCCGAAGGTGTCAAATAAATAGAAGTAGGTGAGGTGGTAGATTTACTATTAGATTTGAGTACAATAAGTTCTCAAACCCAGCTGCACACTGAGATTCACACAGACGCTTTTAGAAAGTAGGTTGCTCTTGGCATATATTATGCAGATGGAGAGGAGTGGAGATGCCTTTCATTGGGATTCAACCCTGCCTCATGTTACAGGATCTTTGCAAAATGACTTTGTGCCTCAGTTTCTGTAAGGGGAGTAGTGTTACTACCAGCACTTTCTTGGTAGGAGGATATAAGGATAAATGAGCAGGTAGGGAGGGGTATAGTGCATGTGTTAAGTGAACAGTGAATGTCCGTCTTTCCATCACAGTCGTTATTACCAGTATCATGACCGTGGCCAGGTCGCACATTTGCTGGGGCCTGGGAATCTTTGCTTTATAAAAGCTTCCCTGGTGAAACAGGAAGAAAATTAGTGCACCCCTGAGCTTTTAAGTTACCTCTCTCATGCTGTCGTAGACAAGGTTTTGGATCTGTTCCCTAATACTTACAGTCTTTCAAATACTTTTAAACAGTTATTGCATCTAACCTTAATTTGTGTTTATAGCAAATTATTTTTATATTTGAAAAATAAAGTTAAACTTTAATTATAAAGATAGAACTAGTTTTGTTTTTGGTGTTGTACAGAAAGTGATTTAATTTGTTGTCTTTAACAGAATTCACTTTTATAAATAGGTTTTGAGATGTAGTAAAATAGCTGGCGTGAAAGTAGCAGAAATTACAGAGCTAATACAGAAAGCTTTGGAAAATGACCAGAAAGTTAGGTAAGTTTAATTTTTTCAGAACTAAATGGTGTTCCTATAGATTTTTCTGTTTAACAACCTTTCTTGCTCAATAGTAACCATGTAATTTTCACACTCGATCTTTCCTTACTTGTTAATCTTAGTTGAATATACCACTTGTGTTTTGAAAATGGACTGCACTTTGTTATATTTTACTACAATTAAACACTTGTACTGAAAAGATCACATTTTTCTTTAAAAAGTTAGTATTTCCTGCCTGCTTGGAAAGTGCTAAGGTCAAGGAAGTTTGTTAAGCTTTTTGAAAACATACACCAACCAAAAGACAAAGCACTTTTGTCATAAATTACACTTCTCCCTAAAAAGTGATCGAGGGCAAATCAAGGCAAGAAATTATGAATTAAAATTTTTTAAATATGAAGAATTACATAATTCTGTAAACTTCTGACCCACGATTGCAGTTTTTCTTTTTTTTTTTTTTTTTTTTTTAAGATTTATTAATTTATTTATTTATACAAGCACTGGGTACAGTCAGAAGCGCAGGAGGGTGAGAATTCACCAGAGCCAGAGCGGGGAGCAGAGCAGGCAGAAGGACCGAAGTACACTGCTGAGGGGAGCAGCGGGTGGCAGGAGAGGTCTGCGCACCATGTGGGACCCTCCTCCGGTGGCCGGGGAGCAGCTGGGGATCGAACCAGTGCTGCAGAGGCTGCGGGCAGCTTCGCAACCCAGCGCTCAACCACTGCGCCACCGGGGAGGCCCGATTGCAGTTTTTCTTAAGGGAATAGTCTCTAGAACTTGTGTTGCCCAATTAGTACTAATGCCTTCAAAAAGGATTTTCGTAAACATTCTAAACTTTAAAACATTGTTTTCACCACAACTCAGGCAAGAAGAGAACCCTATCTTTCAAAGATATGACGAGAAATTTTTAGAATTTATTATTTCATGGAGGCCATGTCAGCCTGCAGCGCTAGGGGCACAGGTCCACCCTCCCTCAGGAGCATGCTGATGCACCGCAGCCCAGCCGGGAGTGCGCAGCATTCACATGGTGAGCAGTGAGAGTGTTAGGAGTCTGAGGTACAAGTAAGGCGATTACTCCATTTGAGATAGGCATGAAACAAGCCAGTCAGCATTTGAGTTTAGCTAAAAATTTGGAGGTCAAACACAATTTAAGCAGTATAATCCACTTCTCTGGAAGGGAGCTAATTTATCTCCTCTTACATTTCTAATTGTACATTCATTTGAAAATGTTTTTGTGTAACAGTGTAGTTACTGTAACAACAGCAGTGAAGCCACTTATTAGAGAATAGGACTCCTTTTCACAGACATAGTACCAAATACTGAACTATAGGAACACATCAGATGTGTTCTTAAAATATTGCAGGTTGTGTAGGTCCTATGTGGTTATAAGAAATCCAGTGTGAAAATTACCAACTAAAGTTATTCATTCTGTAACTCCCTATTGGTTTTTAAACTTATGGTGAAAGTTCCTAGACGTCTTATCATTGCTTTTTAAAAATCTGCCTTTGGATCCCCTTATCAGTGAAATAGTATTGTTTCCAAGGACTGAAGTACTTAATGCTAAGTAAATGACCTGGTGTGTTAGGGTTTCAAAGTAAAAGAAGTTAACGTTTTGCTTTGGCGAAAAGAATCTTCTAACTCAAAGAACACAAACTGGGGCCTGTCTTCACTTGGGCGACATGAAGCAGGCTGCACTTCAGTGTCTTCTGTGATGTGGGAGGCGAAGATGCCTGTGGGGCTGATGGAAGATTAGGGGGTAATGCTCGAGAAACACATAGCGCATGCCTGGCAAGCAGCTGGTTATTTCTCTTGACAGGCCTAATAAATTGCTAGCTTAACTTAGTCAAATACTTACATTTTCTAAAATTTTCCATCCACCAAATGGGTAAAATAGTTAACTTTTCCTTTCTGTCTTCTCTCCCATCTACCATTCCCCTTCACCCTCTCCCTCCTCACCCACACAGGAAAGAAGGTGGGAAGTTTGGCTTTGCAGAGTCTATAGCCAACCAGAGAATCACAGCATTTAAAATGGAAAAGGCGCCCGTTGACACCTCCGAAGTGGAGGAGAAAGCGGAAGAGATCATTGCTGAGGCTGAGCCTCCCTCAGAGGTGTATCTTTACTGGCTGGTTTTCCCAGGAGTGACACGATCCATAAATCTCTTGGCATTACTAGGGCCATGCGAAGGGTGTGTGCACCTGAAATTTGTTTTCTGAAGCACTGTACAATGTTAAACTATTTACGACAGGCAATGATGTGAACCCCCACCTTCTCTTCAGCTACCCCACAAAAAAAAAAAAAAAATTCTGTTTCAATAACTAATTTATAGCATTTCATTTTCCTTTGGAAAATCTTTCTTTAATCCCGTTGTCTTGAAATTTATTCATCAATTGGCCAAATTATTACACTGCAGCTAAAACGTTGAAAGCCAGCCTGTCTCTTGCTACCCTTTTTCTTAACTTGTTAAGTGTTTCCCACCCTGTGCTGTGGACTCCTGGAACTGCCCAAATTGGAGAGGGAATAGAAAACTCCTGGGGTGAGCTTGAGGACTCTGAGAAGGATGATGAGGATGAAGGTGGCAGTGATGAAGCTGTCATTCTTGACAGTATGAAGATGGACACTGGAGTAGAAGTCTCTACTGTTGGAAGCCAAGGTAGGTGGTACTTCGACTTTTACATAAGATATGTGTGTCACAGTTTTAGTGATTTTTTTTCATATTCCTTTAATTTTTTTTAAATTTTTTATTTTTATGTAGAACTGGGTGGGATGTGTTGGCCAGAGGTGGGGGGTGAGAGACAGAGTGGGGAGCAGAACAGGCAGAACCACTGAAATACACTGCTGAGGGGAGCAGCGGGGAGACAGGCAAGGTCTGCTGTGCCCTGTGGGTCAGTTCCCTGGCCGGGGATTGCACTCAGGCTGCAGCGGTGACAGCCGGATAGCGCTGAGACTCAACCCCTAGGCCACCAGGGAGGCATGTGGGCCATTTTCAAGGGGATGAGTTTCTTAAAGATCCAGTACCTACATGCTCCTTTCTTTGTAGTTTCTACAGTCATATAAAAGGCCCGTGCATGTGTAATACTACAGTGTGTATGGTGTATCAGCGTATTAGTGCTTTCCAAATAGCTTTCTGCGATCAAAGAAATCAATGTAGTAGCCACTGGCCACACATAGCTATTGCACCCTGGGGAATTAAATTCCAAATTTTCATTTTGTTCACACAAAAGAGCTCCATGTGGTTCCTGAATTGGAACAGTGCTAGAACATTCTCAATCCTGGAAGTAAATAGAGTAGTGGTAGTCCTAAATGATGTTCCTTGCATTCTGAAAGCCACCAGAGAAATTGTCTTTACTTACGGATAGTACTTGTAAGGAAACCAGTAGTAGAAAATGAGTAATTCACATACCTGTCTGTTTTCAGGGAAGGAAACATTCCTTCTAGTTTTGTCTATAAGGATGCTCCTTCTTATAGCACAGCTATTAAACCGGCAAATTGACTACAAATCATTTTCAGATTGGCTCTGTAAAAGATGTATGTTTATGAATAGATTTCCCCCAATTTTTCCACGGACTTGTATGTAACAGTTTGTCTAGCATGTGTCATTCCTAAGACTACTTTTGTTCAGGGAGAATGTTGTTTTCCAGGGCTCCCAGGCGTTTCATGGGGGGCGGGGGAGACCAAGCAGGTTCGTGAAGCCTGCACCCAGGAGCAGCTGGGCCCTCCACTGCGTGGACTTGGGTCAGGGCTGCCCTAGACACCCCAGTGGGAACTTCCCACAGATCATTCAGGCTGTTTTCTTACATTTTCTTAAAGATGCCCCCATCGTACTCTCAGACAGTGAAGAAGAAGAAATGATCATTTTAGAACCAGACAAGAATCCGAAGAAAATCAGGTAACACATTTCTGATTTATTTCAAATATGTACACATTCAGACCTTCACCTCTGGTTTTTAGTCTCATCTATCCTGTAAGATACCCCTTTACATTAGAAGAACCTAAGAAAACTGGATGTCTTTCAAAGTTAATGTATTTTACTCAAGAGTTGGTGAAGGTTATATCCTATTTGCAAAAGACAGACCTATTTTTGGTAATCTTAAACATAAAGAAAATAGTGCAAGGCTGGTTGGTAAATCAGCTGTGGAATCAGCTTCTAGTGTTAATGTTAATTTTCTTTATTTACAGAACACAGACCATCAGTGCAAGAGAAGAAAAAGCATCAAGCAAAAAGCCAGTGAAAAAGAGAAAAAAGAGACCTGCTAATTAAAGCTCATATAGCTACTATGCCTATAACTATTAAAAGGCTATTCAGTGCTAACAACCACCTAGGTGTTTTTTTTTTTTTATTCATAATCCATTGTTAAACCTGGTTATTTATACAGATTTTAAGTAAAAGGTATTTTTCATTCAGTGTGCAAAGGACTGACAGTCATTTCATCGTGACTGATAAAGTAAGCAACGTTTAGATTTAGAAATGCTTATATTACACCCAAGCCAGCCAGCGAATTGTCCAGTTGCTTAGAGAAGCGAATTTGAAGGTCTGTTTCCTAAAAGCAATGTTAGGAGAAACCTCACCACTCCCCACTCTATAGTAAAACAAATTTTTCTCAATGAAATCCTGACATCAGATTTTTACCTTAAATTAAATTTGACTTAGCAACCAGATTTTCCAAATCAATTTATTAATTTGTATTATCTGGACAGCTGGCATAATTAATACTTTTAACAAAACCACTTAAAATAGCCAGACATCTAAGACAGTTACATGTACAAAAGATACACAAATTAAAACCATTTAAAAAGTAATAGATACCATAATTTGTACTAGTCTATAGCCTCTGTGTTCAGAAATGATTGTAAAACTAAAACGCAAGATTAAAAACTGTACATCATATAGTTTGAGTGATTTACATCTTAGACAACAAAGGCAAGTCTTTCCCTGTCACACGTTTAGTGTTTCTGGTGGGTTGAGGAGAGAAACACCATGGTACCTGGAAGCAGAAGAAAACTGTACTTAGTGAAAATGTCTCTGGGTGAAACGACAAAGGAGGAAATCCATTCTGTCTCTGTGCCTAACTCAGTGGCTACAGAATCCCCGTCTAGTCCCCAAAACATGCACCCACCCCTACCCCCTCTTTCCAAAGTGCTTCCCAGAAAGCACGAACTACAGCCCACCGCTTTGGTAAGTGAAGTGTGAAGATACGAGTCTGTGTGCGCTTACTTTGAGTTCTTGTACTTTTCTCTTATTGACTGTTGGGCATGTTGTGGTGCTCTGAGGTAGGTCTGGTGAAGGTCCAGCAGACAAGGCTTCAGGCTGTCCAGGGTATAGCCAGTCTTCTGCACTAGTGAATCAGGCTAAGAGGAAACAGAACCACTGAGTTTTGTTTTTAGTAACAGACACTAAACAAAGTAGCATTTGGCATTAAAGATGTGTTAGTTAAATTCGAGCACTAGTCATTACTAACAAGTCTTCCAGTTTTCTCTTTTTTTCCCCCATCTAAATTGGTTTTTAATTTTGTATATTTTTTACATCATTTTTCATTTTTGCACAGTGTATGCATTTTCATCTTGGTTATCATCCCCCTAAACGCCCCCCCCCGTTTTGATCCTATTCCCCACCCCCCTCCCTAGTGTCTCTGGTTTATAGTTGCCTGTTGATTTTGATTTTTACTTTATTATAATTAGTCTTTTTCCTGATCCCTTATTTAGGTTTTCTACCTTCCAGTTTTCTCAAGTCACTATTCCACCCCTTTTATGCTACCCTGAACCAATTCTTACTGCTCTCCCTGACAGCATCAGGTCTTATGCCCTGAATTCCTTCAGCACACCTTTCAAAACTCAGGTAGTAGCTAAGCAGGCAAGACACTTAAAACAGTATTTCAATGGTTTTGCAGGTCAGCACATCTAGACATCAGCTATAGAGGACGATGACAAACGTCTGGCCCCAGCCTGTGCGTCACAGGCAGGTGGACAGATGTGGTGAGACATACCCAGCTTTGTCCCGTGACTGTGTAGAGTGCTAAATGAAAGGCTGCTCCAGCAATAACTGATGGCAAGTACTTCAGATACGGTTCCGCATCTATCAAACTCAGTTCTCCCAAAAACTGAAATGAAAAGGCGAATGTACTTGATGACCACACGTGCTCTCGACTTCTACCCCAAACCCCTGCCCTCTGACCCTTTCCTGCTAAGATTCCCTCTCATCCTGTATTTTCCCTCTTTGATAGTCATCCTTAAAACTCTCCTGGCTACCATTTTGCAAGGCCACATCCTTATCCCACTACTCCCACTGCAGCGTTATCCTATCACTGCCATAAGGAATCACTTGACAAAAGCTGTATAATGAACTCACATTTGCCCCTAATTATGGCCTAAGAACTCCATTCAACAAGTGACAGGAACTTACCATTGCTAAACTTTCTACTTTACAATTTGCAGACTGCTGGTGCAGAAAGTATTGGGTGAGAAACTGATTGACTGTTGGTGCAGCTAAGTCAAAAGCAAGGACTTTAAGAACGAGGTGCTCCATTCTCAGAACTTGTTTCTTTGTATAGGTGTCATCTGTAATGTACACAAACTCGGCTACTTCTGGGGGGTATATTTCTTCGAACTTTCTACAATGGAAAAAGTTTTTTGCAATCAGTCTTTCTGAAAGAAGAGCAATTCTTTGAAGTCCAATTCTATGACCCCTTTACCAGAATACAAAGGCTGAATCTAAAGCCCAGGCTTTCCACCAAGTGCCCATTCCCACCATTACTTCATTAGCAGAGGCAGAGTAAATGCTAACAAATGTCAAAAAATCAAGAGCATTTGAGAGCCACTCTTGGAAACAATGCCAGTGTTTTCCAAGTAACTGGAAATTCTCTTAGAAATACTGTATTTTTTAATTTAGTTTTCTGTTCTAAGAGGGAAAATAATTTTTACTTATATGCCAGGAGACATTACAGAAGGAACCACAGTTTCAATCTTTGTACTCTAGTTCTAGTGTATTAAAATGTAGTTGGGCTCCAAGTTCATTCAAGAAGTTCCCCTAGAATCCAGATCTGGGAAAACTAAGGTCCTAAATTAGAAAATAGTTTCGTCCACATGGCCACCCCTACAGTGGTCACTGACTCCATCTTGTGTGAGAATCATGATTTTCTTTTCTACACAGAAGTACCAATCACTTTTAATCCAACAAACCAAGCTGGACTCACGAGGCTAACAGCATAGCAGCAGTGCCCACAAGCTGAAGTTTTCCTCTCAACACAGACATGGACGAAAGGAACCTGTCAATATAGTTCACAGCCAAATGCAGGGTCTCGTTCTGTAGTTTATATTCTTCTCCTACTTCAACTAACCAGTCCACAAGGATAGCTCTCATGCTGTTGGTGATGTCCGGCTGTTTCTTCATGTAGCCCACTTTAGGCTTACATTTAACCTGTTGAGAAAGTTACTGAGTGTTAACATTGAAGTGAGATTATCCTAACGTTAACAAAGATGCTAGAAAAAGTACTTCACTTATTCACTAGACTGTCTTTACCTCCATTTCCCTAAGGTACGTGTGAATATCCTCATGGTAGTCTGGTACTTCATTAACACTCACTGGCTTTTCATCTTCCAATACAATTGACATATCCATAGTATGCGGTGATTCTGGAAAAGTTCAAAGCATGACTAAGTTCATTGTCTAACACTACTTCACAGTGAAAGTGGTTGTCCTTGTAAGGAATCCTGTACCATCAAGTCAATTACTTCATCTAAAAATGGCTTCTCATCACAAAATACACAGACTCTTTCACACTGGGTTTAAGTACCTCCATCCACTTAAGCTTCGGAATCATTTTTAAGTAACAAGTAAAAGGAACGCTGATAGGAGGAAAATGGGTTTGAGGACCAAGTATTATGTTAAAAGTATCATTCATCTCCCATGACAGGAGATGGGATAGTGATTCTGTGAGGACAGTTAAACTCCCAAGTTTTTAGATATCCATGACTTGCCATAAGAGTCTTCCGACCCCAAGGAATGACATAATTAAAAGCACGATTTAGACAGTAACTAGAAGCACTACTAACAAGTCTGTTAGCACTTAGAGGTTAAACTTTCTTGTAATTTGTACATAATACACAAATTACTTCCAAAGAGATTTCCTGCTACTCCCAGACCTCCTCTCATCAACAGAACTGAAAGTGCACCCAGCAAGCTATCCAGGGAGTCCACAGCCCTATTTTAAAACAGCAGCACTAACTGGCACAACCATCTACATAGCAGCTATTCTTTATGTTAGTGCAACAGCCACAGTGCAAGCACTGATTCGGGACACTATCTCTTTTGGGCATCCGACAATCACTCAGACTGGTTTTCCAGAAATGTAACTCTGAAGCTGGAAGAGATGCCAGATATCCCATTTTAGGCTGTATTCCCAGACTCTGCAGTGAGTCTTGTATCTACAACACATCTGTTCTCCCACCAAGATAACATTTCCAGAGTCTGAGTAAAACAAGAGATGTAATTAAATTGATGTGATTGGTAATGTCCTGGGTGGACCAATCACCCCATGAGGATATGAGTCTTTCCCTAGGTCAGCTATTAGCTGTGAGATCTGAGACAAAGTTACACCCTTTCTGAACTTGGTACACTGAAGTTAACTCATTCTATACTAGGGATCAGGTGAGATAAGATAGTCTTAAAATGCAAACAATCATTAACTCACCCTTGGTCTGACACAGATTTTTTAAAAAACTTACCAAAACTACCATCCATTGGGTAATCAAGAGGTACCAGTGGTTTTCTTGGCCCAGGCAAAGTAACGGCAGAATCAAAAGCCAGCATGTCATCACACTCTGGATTTTTGGCTTCGCCTGGCCCCTTTGCAGTCTCCTCTTCTGCTGCTTCATCCACGTGAATGGTGAAGGCCGCAGGCTGCTTGTTGTTTGCTTTCCAGGGAGGAAGGGCGACATGCTCGTCGTTTATGGGGAGATCCTTCAGAGGTGCAACCTAAAAGGAAATGGATGGGGTTTGAATCTATTAGCTTGAGCTTTGCTTTCTTCTCCTGAGGGTTTCAGCCTTGCCTCTTACTCCCAAATACCATCAGAAATATTAAGCTTTCTGGGGCGAAGTTCAGACAAGGAGTGGTGTGAGCATTCGAGGGCTGAAGGATATGCCAGTTTGTCCCGAGCACCCCGGCAAAGGTTACACAGGGCGTGGACACTGCGTGGACTAATGCAAAGGTCGGCGGCGACAGCGGGCGGCCGGGGCGGGTGCGCGACGCCAAGTGTCGGGAAGACGGCAAGAGAGCGGCTCGCCGCGTCGGCCCCAGGGCTGTAGAGCAACCCCGATACAAAACGGGGTGGATTAACTCAGGACATCCTTTCCCCCTAACACCAGGGTGGGGCGACAGAGCAACTGCGGCTAAAATGGCGGACTTTACCAAAAAAGCCAAGTATTTTCTCAGCCTTCCCCAGGGCGTCGCCTCTCACCAGCCCGGGAGGCGGGCCCGGCGCCGGCGCGGAGTCTGGGGGAGCGGCGGGGAAGGGGCGAGGGCCCGCCGGCGCCCAGGGAAGCCCGCCCGCCCGCCCGCCCGCCCGCCCGCCGGCTCACCCGCCGCGTCCGGGGCTTCTGCTGCGGCGCGGCCGCGCGCGGGTTCCCGGCCTTCAGCACGGCCAGGGCCGCCCGCGTGCGGGGCTGCGGGCCCGGCGCCCGCGCGGGGTCCACGTTCTCCTGGTCCTCCGCGGCAGCGCCCGCAGCGCCGCGCCCGCCTCGCCGCCCAGCATCGCGGCGCCGCCCTCCGCCGCCGAGCGCTGCCGCCGCCGCCGCCGACCAGCCCGGCGCGCACCGCGGAGCCAGGCCGCGCACCCGCCCGAGCCGAGGGAGAGCAGCGCGCAGCCCGCCGGGCGCCGGCCGGTCCAGCAATTCAAGTGTCCCGCGACTATTGAAATGGGCCAATCAGCGCGGCCGGGCCCGTGACGCCACCCGAGCGACGCGGTCGCAGGCGAGGAAGGGCGGTGCCAAGGCGCCGAGGGGGCGGTGCCAAGCGCCGGGCGGCGGGAGGCCACGCGCATGCGCGGGCGGGGTGCGGAGCGAGGCAAAACGCGCCTGCGCGGGCGGAACGGGGCGAGAACGCGCCTGCGCCCCCGGGGAGGCGGGCGGGGCCAGGGTCGCGCCCCGGGGTCCCCTGCGGCGGGGCGGGGCGGGGCCGAGGTGCAGGCGGCGCTCGCCCGCGGGCCCCCTGGAGGACGACACCGGGGCCGCGCCCGCCGCCAGCGCTGCGCGGGGCCCGTGGGCGCGGGAGCAGGGCGGCCTCGCGCGGGCTGGCTGAAGGCGGGGAGCGGCCGTTTCCCGTCAGCGTTCGCGCCGTTACAGCTCCCCTGCACGCCGTCGCGAGGGGCCACGGCCACGGCGCGGGCTCGCCCGCCCCGCCGCCCGCGCCGGTGGCCACGCGCAGGGCCTCGCGGAGCCGCCGACCTCGGCCGCCGCAAGCATTCGCTCGTTTCCCCGGGCCGGGGTACCCGACCAGGACCCGAGCAGGACCGGGGCGTGGCCTGTCAATGACGTCACCCCGCCGGGCGCGTTTTCTTGCAGGACTGGACGAAATAATGTTGCAAAGACCAAATGAGCTCATGACTAGTGACATTTTGAAACTGGAAAGCAGTTTACACACGTTGTTTGCTATGTATCGGAATGTTTTTATTTCCCAATAATCCCTCAGTTTAAGTTAAAACATCCACTTGAAAAAAATCCATTACAATCCCTTATAATCATCCCATTTATGTTACAAATGGAAGTTTCTTTTATTTTTAAAAAGTTCCATTTCACAAAATAGATGCATTACTAAAAAAAGTCACATCACATATGTCTGCATATTAGAAAGCACTTTAAATAAGTGTACATGCCTACTTAGCTTGCAATTCTGTTTTGACATTTTTCACTTAAACTTAACCACTTCCTTGAACTTTACCTTGTTTGTATTTCATGCAGCATCAAAGAAAGCGATCAAAGCATTTTGGTCATAACTGTCCAGAATCTCCAGCAGAAGAGGTACTTTGGTCTTTACATTGGTGCCTTTGAATTTGAACTTATCTATGAAAAGATCAGTGATCATGCCTGTAAAGAACAAAGTCAATTTCTTGTCACTGATTAGTTCTAATTAACGACACCGTACATGATCAAAGAGCATGAATGCTCAAAAATCTGTATCCATAATTCCATACACAAAAAGACTGATGCTTTAAATATATATCTAAAGGGCCTCCCTGGTGGTCCAGGGGTTAAGTCTCCCGCTATCAAGCCACTGCAGCCTGAGTTCCTCTCCAGCCAGGGAGCTGACCCACATGGCAGAGCAGACCTCTCCTGTCTGCTGCTCCTGTCCGCTGCTCCCCTCAGCAGTGAATTTCAGTGATCTGCCTTTCTGTTCCCCACTTTGTCTCTGGGAGGGGTGAATCCTCTCACCACCACCGCCCCGTACCTCTGGCCTGCACTCCAGCTCTTCCACACAAAAGTAAAAAAAATTGAATCTTTGAAAATAAATATATTGATTCATATAAATAATGTGGTGATTTTAAGGCAAAATTATAAATCACTTGGTTAATAACCTTAATAACTCGTTACAAGGTATTCAGAAAACTAGCGGCTAGCCAGTTTTGAACTGCTATCGGTGTGTGTGCACACACATACAATCACACAATTCCAGAAAGTGTTTATCTCTCATTTTTTATATAGCACAGGCAGATCCTGATCTAAGATCTTTGAGTTAGAATATTTCATCTACCTGTTGATCATTCTTGAATCTGGCTTGAAGGCAAATCTGCCCAGGTTCAAAGATCTGGACAAGTTATTTTACCTTTGGGTTTTCCTATATGTACAATGGGGATAATTCAAGCTGCCAATTATTTATTTAAAATCCTTGATGCAAGGTAAGTCTCACAGTTTTTCACATTTTAGAAAGACAGTGAAAGGACCACACCACAGGCGACCTAACATCCAGGGCAGCTCATGGCAGTGCCCAGACACAGTAACTTCTGCAACAAAGTACATGGGTACCTGAGATATTCATATTAGGTAAAACAGAATGATGCTAAATAAACTCCGATTACTTAAAAGTAAGGTTTTGTCATTGAATTAATTCAGATGAAATCAGATTTCCTGCCAAATGATTTATGAAAAAAGCTTTGGTTTCAAACTTTGTAGATTTGGGGCTTGATGATAAGAGATGGTGGTTTTATACCACTCTCTTCCAGGTTGTTACAGGATAAATGCACTTGCCATGGAGTCAATGTTAAATGTTTATTATATTAGACAAAGCAGCAAGTATTAAGATATCAGGTTCCATTGATAGGGATTGCGAGCAAGTCTCTGGGCATCAGAAACCAGGAGTCAGGCTTCACAGTAAGTGTGGAATGATGGCACCAGTGGCCCGGAAGAAGGCTTACCAGGTGTGGGCGCTGGGGCGAGCTGGGGCAGTGCAGGCTGTGCCTCAAGCCATTTACCAGGTCTTTAGTTTCAGATTTCAGTTAGAGAAAGGTGAAAAAACGGAGCTGACACCATCTGCCTTGCACAGCATTGAAAGGACTGAACATCCCACCGCACTATGAAGATATCATAGTATGTGCCACACACAAGTCTTATATAAAGACTGCAAAGAAATTTTTCCTTAAGCTTCCTTCTCTCCCTCCCCTGTCCCTCTCATTTGTGAAACACTCAGAGCAAAACAAATTGTGAACTGTAAATTAAAAAAAGCACGTATGTATTCTTTTTTTTTTTTTTTGGTGGGACCTTCCCCGGCGGCCGGGGAACAAACCGGCACTGCCGAGGCTGCGGGAGCCTAGCAGCCCAGCGCTCAACTGCTGCGCCACCAGGGGAGGCCCACAAATGTATTCTTTATTAAAATTTGCCCAAAAAAATAAATGCTGCATTTTGATATTTCACATTATGGAAACCTGAAAATTACTTGTGGGTGAAATAGTCTAAATTTTAAATGAAATTATGTATGTTTTACATTTTATTTTTTTAATTTAAAAAAAATTTTTTTAAGATTTATTTATTTATTTATACAAGCATTGGGTACAGTCAGAAGTGCGGGAGGGTGAGAGAATTCACCAGAGCCAGAGCGGGGAGCAGAGCAGGCAGAAGGACCAAAGTACACTGCTGAGGGGAGCAGCGGGCGGCAGGAGAGGTCTGCGCCATGTGGGACCCTCTTCCAGTGGCCGGGGAGCAGGCGGGGATCGAACCGGCGCTGTAGAAGCTGCTGGCAGCTTCGCAACCTAGTGCTCAACCGCTGCACAACCAGGGAGGCCCTTTTTTAATTTTTTAAAAGATTTATTTATTTATACAAGAGCTGGGGTACAGGCCAGAGGCACAGGGGGATGAGAGGATTCACCATTGATAGAGCGGGGAATAGAACAGGCAGATGGACCAAAAGCACTGCTGAGGGGAGCAGCGGGCGAGACAGGAGAGGTCTGTCGTGCCATGTGGGAATCTCCCTGGCTGGCCAGGAATTGAACCCGCACTGCAGAAGGTGCAGATAGTTTCACAGTGCTGTGCTCAACCCGCTGCGCCACAGGGGAGGCTGGAATAGTCTAAATTTTAATCATTCACAGGTTATATTACCCATTCTTCTTCATATGTAGAGAAAATTCACTGCATTACATTTATTTCTTAATTTTTACCTGCATTTTATCAAGTAAAATTATTAACTATTAAAACTAATTTGACAAAATAGTTTGTGCCATAAACTGGTTGCCACTGGCTCATGACTGCTATAACTTTAACTGTGTCCAATTTCTCTCACATGATACTTTGCAAACAGAAAACAGAAAAAAAAATAAAAAGAAATTATAAAATAGTCAACTAACCATGGAGTCTGTCCAGATGTGCAGGCTGCTTTTTGTATTCTTCCTGTAACTGATCTGCTTCTTCTAGAATACAGCGATATTCTGGTATCAAAAAGTTCGTATTTCCCTCATGAACCTGTAACTCCTTATTTAAAATAAAACAGAAGCACTTTAATTTTCAAAACTCAGTTCAGGGTAACTTTAGTCTTTACAGCTTCAGAAATCCCTTCACCATAAAATGACACCATGCATCCGTGCCCCATACACTTACTTTTAAAGCATCAATTAGCTGTACTTTTTTAGCCAAAAGCAACTGGTCCTCCAACTTTGGGTGGATTAGCTTTAAAGTGTGTTTCACTGATACTTCATTTATCTCTAGGAATTAAGCCAGACACAGATTAGATAAGTCACTTTGATCAGAAACATTCTTACTGTATCAACCACCAAATATAAACTCAGAATTTTTGTTTTTTACCATATGATATGTTGAGGTTAATTTTCCTTTTTGTAGCTTCTTTAGAGAGCACATCTTTTAAGATGGATATAGTAGAAATGTTGTCAGATTTAAAAATTCCTTCCCCTTTCCTATAAAATTAATATTTTTAAAAGAAAAGTTTTAGAAAGATATACAGTAAACACATCCACTAAATATGCATCTTGTGACTACTACACCTAGTGTTTGATTTCATTTTATTTTAGATTTCTTTACATCAGTTTCTCATTATTAGCAAATATAAGTATAAAGCATATTTAACTATTATATTAATAAGTCCTGAATGACTGTAAAACTAAAGATGTTGGATATATGCTTTCCCATGATATGACAATTTATATAAATCTTCACTTAACCACTTTTCTTCACTCTCACTAATACTAATAGTTAGCCCCTTCTTATAAAACGTACTTAGAGCTGCATCATACATAAGGTGTGGTTTTGGTTAATGTGTGCATAGAGGTCACAGCATCCTCACAGGAAGCCACTCCCAACCCCAGGGTCGAGTCCTGCTCCCCTGCGCCCAGCTCGCCGCTGCTTCCTGCTTCCTACACACCAGGCCCTGCTTCCTACGGGGGCCACTTCCCTCTCACCCTTACCAGTCAGGCACAGCCCAGGCCTCAACCCCTTTCCTGGGGCACGGGGAAGCGCCGCAGGGCGTACACAGCTGTGTTCCAGGGCAGAGATCGACTATGCTGAGCTTTGACGCTCCGCAGCGGGAAGACAAACACCACCATGGGCTGCCCGTGGCAGCTTAGGATGCCTAAGCTGACACATCCCTGCTGTGCTGATGAAGACCAAGAGTCTCCAAATTAATACACACCATCTTTCATATATTCAATGTTGCCTTTGACTTGGCTTTCACACACAAATAGTTTATATTGACTAGTTATAAGTAAATATTAGTTCTTTTCTCTAGAAAGATGAATGCTCCCAATTCTGTCATAGAGTCTCACTAGCTTTTCACTTGTTTAGAGATGTCCGCTGTCTCTAGTGAGTGCCAAACATACAGCGTCGGGCACCATGGGGCATCCCAGGCCAACGTTCAGCCCACACATCCCGTCATGTAAGTTCTGCATATGTCTAACAAGGAATATCCCTGAAGGTCTTGCATGGTATTTTGCTGCTGCTGCTATTCTGAGAGGGTCTTTTTATTTTCTAATTGGTTACTGTTGGGAGAGGCAAAGCACTGATCTTTCATATTAATTCAGTCATGTTTTCTAAACTCTTTAATTCTACTTGGTCTTCAGTACAGGCTTTCAATCACAGAACTTGCAATTAGTCCTCCCTTAAAGCAAGCGGAAATTGAGAGCTCCACTTGTCTACAAATGCTGGTAAATGGCAAGACACTGGACTTACCTGTAGGTGCTTTCCAGCTGTGTGTCCAGGAAGGTGTTCTGAAAATAAAACGTCGCACTTTCTCCTGCTGGAGGCTTTTCGGGGACTTCAGGCAAGCAAAAAACCACCCAGGAGTGAACTTCCGCAAAACTGAATTGGCCCGTTAATGTCAGTGTGTTCATGGGTCTGTGATTTGATGGTAGAGGGACACAGTTTGTGTGGGAAACCGCGTAGACACTAACTACACAAATATAAAAATACTCTCTTAATTTTTCTTCATGGGATGCATCAAATAATCAAACATTTCAAGTTCATGGACCAAAAACACCTGTGCTTTTAATTTTCAGTTGATATAAAGATTTTTTTTTAAGGATTTATTGATTGATTGATTGATTTATACATACATGCATACAAGCACTGGGTACAGTCAGAAGTGCGGGAGGGTAAGAAAATTCACCAGAGCCAGAGCGGGGAGCAGAGCAGGCAGAAGGACCGAAGGACACTGCTGAGGGGAGCAGCGGGCGGCAGGAGAGGTCTGCGCGCCATGTGGGACCCTCCTCCGGTGGCCGGGGAGCAGCCGGGGATCGAACCGGTGCTGCAGAGGCTGCGGGCAGCTTCGCAACCCAGCACTCAACCGCTGCGCCACCGGGGAGGCCCGATATAAAGATCTTGTTTTCAATATAATTCAGTTTACAAAATCAGAACATTTCTTAAAGCTACATGTAGTATTTGCATTATATAAATTACAAAGCATACACAAGCATCTTCTCTGAGAAAGCATCAGCATAATGTGAAGGTAAAGAACTGGGCTTTAGGTGAAGTAAAAGTGGACAAAACCTGTTGCATTAAGTACCTGTGTGTCCCAGGGAAGAGCGGGGGCTGCCGCTTTTGCAGGCATGCGCGATATAGTACTTTCTAGCTCAAAATCAGCCTGTGGTTGTCTCTTTCACAGGCACACAACACAGAGTATAAAAAATCACTTACACTTAAGGCAAATGGATAATTACAAAGAGCTCAGAAAACGCAGTTAATGGGCTTAAAGATTCAGGAAAGAATTTTAAGAGGAAACCACATCACAGAACCTTACAGCTAGAATAACTGGGGAAGACCCAAGCTCACGCTTTCATTTGTGAGTGACAACGCTGACCCTGCAGAGGTCAGTTTCTCTCTTTAACGCCACAAGAACAGACACACGCTCAGGCCTGCCCCTCGGCCCCCCGTCTGCTGTCTTTTTCAGTACGGCTCACTGCTGTTACAAACCTTGACTTTGAGGCAGGAAAACACCCTAAAAGAATCTCTAACATTTTCCAGAAATCTTCCTTAGGAATATTTTCCTTTACTGGTCTTCAAAATTGTAAGCTTCAACAGGAAAAACATGGACTTAGTTGGCTTCAAATCACAGCTGTTTCTTATATGAGCAAGACGGGCCCACCCGTCTCCCGAGATGTCGTGACGGTGCTGCCGCCGCACACTCAGGGCAGAGGGAAGGGCCCACAAGAGCCATTTCCTTCCTCGCTTTCATTGACGCTCATGACCCCCCATCTTCAGGAAAGAAAATAAAGATCCTAGCAGGGTCTTCAGGTGGAAGGAGTCAGACGTGAAAGGAACACCACAGCCTGACCGCCCCCACCCGCCCCGCTGGTTCCAAGGGTGGCAGGAAGCTGGCAGGAAGCCTGACTCCAAGAGCAGGGAGCCCTGCTGGCCACCTGCAGGCCACATGGCTACTGGCCTCAGCGCACAGCTCTGGGGGGAGGCAGGGGCCTCTAGAGACTGAGGCCTTCTCTTGCTCACAAGCATCAGCCCACAGCAGTCAGATACCTATCCAGTCTTAAATGTACAAGCAACTAGCAGTTTATACACTAGAAGCGAGATAAAAAGCAAGTTTATGCAATTCCTGTTAACACTCTGAAAATAAACTGCTCCCTCCTTCACCCTACCTGCCAGGGCTGGTAACGTGAGTTCTCTGGTGGAGTGAGAGGGGTTTGATCAGGTACTGGCGAACCTGGCAGGTTTTGGGCTGGATTCTTGGAGTCACGTAGGCTTGAAGGGTGCCGTACTGGCCTTCAATGGAGCGGATCTGACCCAACACAGAGAGGAAAGAAAGTAAGGCCGACCCGCTCGCACAGCGTCATCCTGAAACGCTCGTCCCGAGGTGTCGCACGTGCCCAGCTGCAACACCTTCTGTGACACTTTGAAGGAGATAATGACATTTTATTAATAACTACTTTTTGCCACTAGAAGAAAGGAAAATTTAAAGAGACTTTGGCAGCCAAAAGTGAAAGCAGAAACGAGGCCGCCCCACCGCGCAAGTCCGGGCCCATAGGCGCTGGGCAAGGCTGGTCAGCCGGACCCCGGCTCACCCCTCCCCGATGTCCAAACACAGGAGGAGAGAGTGTACAAGGATCGCCTCAAAAATGCCTAAAATCTTTTCTGTTGAAGAGTTTTCCAAATGACTGAAACTTACTTGGACTATTTTGTTTTCTCAGAAATGGGGAAGCTATAGCATTCGGCTGTTATTAGAAAAATCCATTGGTGGAAAAAACTATTTCTAAGAACTTAGCTTTTGGACTTGCTGTGTAAAGGGAATATACCCATGATGCAATTATGACACGTTTCACGGAAAGTAAATATATCACAAAATTATACTTACACAAGAACAAACAGAACAGCTGTATAATGGCAGCATAACAATATACTAATATAAGAACAAATTTGGGGAAATTCTTTTGGGCTATTCTGAGCATGGCTGGCTGGATATCCTGAGATTTACAGCATTTATGGGAACACGAGCTGGCGACACTATGCAGGCCTGAGGTCAGAGGGGCTGGGAGCTGCCTTGCCCCTCCCTGTCGCCCACCCAGGGCCTCTCTGCTCCACTTCCTGGGGTGCCCGAAACACCATCCCCCTCCCAAAAGGCAGCTTCTCTAATTTTTTCCTGGCAGGTTACTTGCTCAGACACTGTTTAAATATATTCTTTTGTAAATAAACTTATCCCATTTTTAATTTTTCTTCCAAAGATCATGAAATGGAAGAATACCAAAATAGCTTTGGGGGAAAAAAATTACATTTAACAGGAACTTCCCTAACTAGATATGAAAAAATTACTGTATCACAGCATCTCTCTTGAAAAAAACATCCTGAGCGCCTCAGAACATTGGCACCACCAGAAAAAAGTTACAGTCCTTTATTTTTAGATCTAAATGAATCAAAAATAAAATTAAAAAGGTCTTACACTACAACTTCAAATAACTAGAGGAGATCTGTGTGTCAAGATCAATATTAATTATTAAAGTGATGACATCACTTAATTTCTTTCTTTTTTTTTGCATTTTAAAAGGGCAGGCTTATGAGGAAACAGAAAAGGGAACAAGAGGCGGCACCTGCACACACACAGGTGGGCGGTCTTGGGCCGAGAGCTGCCCAGCTTCATTTCTGACAAGACTACAGAGCACGCTCGCTGCCTGCAACACGCAGTGACAAATGGCATTTCTGGGATGGACTCAGGTAAGTGCAGAGAACAGGAAAGCTCGAGCAGATGCCCACACACGTCAGTGGTGAAACAGCTCTGGGCAAACCCAGACTGCGCCAAACAGAGCAAAGATGGGTGAAATCTGAGCATTAAACACTTGATATGAAGGAATTAACTCATTTTGCTTAATTGGGTTGTAATTATGTCAGAAAAAAATCTCTTTGAGAGATATATGCTGAGATTTTCACAAACGAAGTAGTCACTTGTATGTGCTGCAGAGCAGACGGGCTGGAGAGGGAGCACAGACAAGACTGCCAAGACTGCGCTGACGCCGGAGTCACGGCTTCTATAGGCTCGAAACTTTCTCTAATAGAAAATCAGAAACATCTCAGAGTAAGCTGGCATCAGTGATTTTAGAGGCAGTGACAGGTTGAGCCGGGAGCAGACTCAGTGGCTTGGGCTCACCGAGGCCAGAAGAAGTCACTGCCCCCAAATGACTCACTCCGGGCGCAATTTAACACAAAGAGGCAACGTCGCATGCAACGAGACATGCCAGAGGGAAGAAAAGAAAGTGCAGACTTTCAAGTAAAGGTAATTCAAGCATCGTACCTTGAGTTCCAGCCTTGTGGTGTTTGCCTGGCACCGGTACGTAGCGAGAAGAAAGTTGTCACTGGCCTGGAAGAAGCCAAAGTTGCGGGAAGGATGAGTCCAGGTTGCAGCAGGAAAAGCAGCCTAAGCAGTGGCAACGGCTGCCGTCTGCGTGGCGGGCGCTGTGCCCAGAGCTTTCCGCCTATGTCTACAAACCCTCTGCAGTAAGTGTCACCACGTCAGTTTTAACAATGAAGAAACCGAGGCATTGGGGGTTACGTAAATTTCCCAAATGAGCAAGACATAAAATTGGAATTCAAATTCATATCTTTAAAACTTTTCCATCCTGAGCCTCTACAGTAACATTTTTCAACATCAAGAATGCTTCTAAAAATTTAACTGAGAGTGTAAACTCAATATTTCTATTATCAAGACAAGAATATGTTTAGTGTTGAAATCTTTGATTTTCACAAATACACGAAGCCCTAAGAAAGGTCCCATCTCCATTCCCAGCAAACAGAACAACGCTCAGTTACTAACGTGTGTGGTTGCTGCGTTAAACTGGAGCATTTACTTCAAGGACACTAACTTCCTGAAGTTCAGCATTAAAATACTAAAGATAGGGCCTCCCCTGGTGGCGCAGCGGTTGAGCGCTGGGTTGCGAAGCTGCCTGCAGCCTCTGCAGCGCCAGTTTGATCCCCGGCCGCCGGTGAGGGTCCCACAATAAATAAATAAATAAATAAACAAACAAACAAACAAATAAAATACTAAAGATAGAAAAATACATTTAGGCACATGAGTTGCAAAAACAGACAAAGAGACATGAGATATTTTATATTTTATGCATCACTATTTTCCTATTTTAAATAAAAAGAAAATTTGAACATTTTAATTTCAAACCATTTAACCTCAGTGAACACAAATGTCAATCAAAGCAAAAGATATGCACTTAAGCGTTTACGGATGAAACAACAGGGATTAAGAGAAAGAAGACGTCTGGGATCGGGTCCGGGCAGGGAGTGGGTGGAGAAGGGGTGAAGGAGCCGGCGCCAGCCGAGGTAGGAAGTCCAGGACTTCCATGCGCTGAATCTCAACACCCTTCTTTCGAGCAAGGAGAGAGGAGTCCAGAGAAAGTGAGGTGGACCAGGAAGAACCTTGCTCAGATGAAGGACCATGTGAGGCATAGAGCATTTTCAAGAAATTTAAAAAACTGCAGTTTGGCAGAAATGACGTTTGGGGAGGTCATAGCTGGGGCGCTAAGTGGGGTGCAGCCAAGAGCTTAGTCCCTGAGCCCTCCGCTCCAGTGAGCCTCAGCTCCTCAGTCAACAGAGGAGTGAGGCGGAGCAGCCTATCTGTCAGGAAGGCCTCTCTGCCAGGGCGCAGCACAGGGAGACGTGAAAGGGGGGCAGAGGCCTGGGGTCCAGGGAGGAGGAGAAAGGAGACGAGAGAAATGAATTTGAAGACCAGAGAAAGGAAGGGATCTAGGACAACAGCCAACTTTCCAGATTATCGCAAGGCAGAAAAAGAAGATTTTGACAAAAATGTTATGAAAGGAAAGGCTGAAGCACAACATCAAACCTTACCAGCTTTTATAGGTTTTAATCAAAATGGCATATTGAAACAAAAGCATCTGAAGGATTCCTTAGATCTACTCACTCACCTCAGAATCACAGCTGCTAAAGCTGACAACAGCAGAATTTTTATCCTCATCAAGTAAATCTATTGGAACGTCACTCTATAATCAATATTAAGAAAAAAGGTTCAGATGAAAAACTACTACTTCTCAGGAAACACACTTTCTCTAAGGCTCTCCTGGGTGTCAGCGTATGTGCGTATTTCTACTTTGACAGTATGAGCTCTCCCGGACAGCCTGTGCATCTAGAAAATAATAGAGTCTTGCTCTAGCACAGACCCCTGTTTTTTCTAACTGGACTATCAGAGGTCACAAGTCTCTCACTGCCCTGTCCAAAGTGGAGTCTCCCCATTTCTGTCAGGGCTGAGAGGGTCACCACGGCCACCCGGCTCCCTTGCCTGCCATGCAGGGTCTCCGCTGTCCTCTGGAAGGTCGTTTCTGAGACAGGGCACCTCGTTCTCAAGGTCTCTGAACTCGTGGAGCAGATTTCTGCTGTGAGCGCCACAGTTCTCTGCTCTCCCCCACACCCTGTCTTTCCCCTCTGCTTTCTTTTCTCATTTCCTGATAGGTTTTTCTCTTTGTTTGCTTGTTTTCCATTCATCCAGTCATCCTTTCCACTCCGAGAACATCTTCCAATTGGAAGGAAAGCAGAGCACTAAGTCTCGCCCTGTGGGGTCTTCCCGGGGGCTTGCTGGCTCCCCTACACTGCAGGGGGAGCACCAGCTGCACTGCAGCTACTATTCTACTGTCTGCAGCTGACGGGGTTCTAGGAATGGCAGAGTTCTTCTCAGGTGCATCTGTTAAGATTCTCCTAAAATTCGACCAAAGTACAAAATCTTTAATGTCTTCTTTCTGATTCTGAGTCTTCCTGTAACTTAAGTCCATCAGCCCTTGTTTATGGGATAAATAAAATGTGAAGACAGACTTACTATGAGAAAAGTGGTTATCTAATGAGAGATTAAGATAAGCACTTGAATTACTATTAAAATAAATGACATTTTAAAAATAAACAATAAAACTTACTGTCTAAAACTAAAAGTGTTCAATGATCTTTAGTGCATATGACTGGCTTGCAAAATAAACGGCTTGGTCATAAAACAAAGCAATTAGCTGTTGTCTCACCTGTATCAAGACGTTATCTATTGCTGTCTGCACCTCTAAGACAAGGCTGTAGCTGGCATCATCTTTATTTAATGTAAATTTGTCATTTATACTAAACGAAGGTACTGCTGATTTTGCTTTGCTTGACTGAGAAGACTGCTGGTATTTCTCTCTTTCCTGGAGGACCTTGTACTGCAGATGCTCCAGCTCATTCCTGGAGAGAAATACAAACAGCTCTGTCACTTGTAAGCATAAACGCATGAGGCTCTTTTTTTTTTCAAGATTTATTTATTTATACAAGAACTGGGGTACAGGTCAGAGGCGCAGGAGGGTGAGAGGATTCACCAGAGACAGAGCGGGGCACAGAACAGGCAGACTGAAACACACTGCTGAGGGGAGCAGCGGGCGAGACAGGAGAGGTCTGCCGCGCCATGTGGGTAGCACCCTGGCCATCCGGGGCTCGAACCCACTCTGCAGAGGCTGTGGACAGCTTTAATACGCGGTGCTCAACCCGCTGTGCCACTGGGGAGACCCAAACATGTGAGGCTCTTAAAAAATTTACAAAAATTTGAGACATTTACTTCTGCAAAGTGATAGTTTTACAGGCTGAGTTAGAACTATTAACACCAAGAGGATCAACATTTTTGCTTCTGTGATTGCCCAAATGATTCTATAGTATTTATCTCTAAAGGCGAAAACAACTCCTCAGTCCCATACCAACACATTAAAAGCTGTAGTAGTAACAAAGGCAGGCTGTGGACACACACGTGGGTCTGGCTACAACCCTACAGCACCAGTCAGGAGAGAGCCAGCCAGGTGCAGAGGGGCACACTAGATCCAATGACAAGTGACAGCGTGAAACAGTGCAGTGGGTATCAGCTCGCCTCACCAAACGTGTGAAGCCAGTAGTCTGTGGTAAAGGCAGTTCAGGGAACATGGGAGTATCTCCAGTATCTCTGTGCCGACCGAAAGGCACAGGCCACCAGTTACGGGGAAAGGACACACGCGAGTGAAGCAAACGGGAACTCGGGTAGAGCAGGAGGGTTAGCTGGCCCTGACTTGGGGTGGGGAAGTCTAGGGAGCTTTGGCGGGATCTGTGCAATGAACAAAGGAAAAGATTGATTCATCCAACAAATATTTACTGAGGATCTCTGACATACCTACGTTCCAGGTGAACAAGGAGGATCCAAGTTTCCCATGTGCCTACGTGCCCATGGAACCAGGAGGGGCCTAGCTATGAAGGGAGGTACTGTGGGGTGGGGGGAGGACAGTCATTAATCCCACTTGGGGCCTTGACACAGCCACACAGAGCCTGCTCTCCTGAGGGCCTTGCCTGAGGCGGGTGGGGGGAGGTAAATTCATGGTGTGCACTTTAGTAATCAGTATTTGGGACACTTCGCTGCTTTTAAAACTAATGTAGTCTTCAAAGACCAGCCCTCACTCCCCCAAGAGGCTGGGATGCTGAAGAGGAGCGAAGAGTCACGCGGCTGCAGCCACTCCCCCTTCTTTGGTTGGGAAGCAGGAAGCACGTCTACTTGTCTACTCTAGGCTGCAGTCCTTTTTCATGGGACCGATCAAAGGGTGGGTCTCAAGGCAAGCCCTGCATGGGGGGGTTGGGGGGCTGCTCACTCGCAGGGAGAAGACTTGTGATCCTAGACTCAGAAGGCCCACGGGACAGTGGACACGTAGGGTTAACGAACACAGAGCCAGCTGTGGTGGCGTCTTTCCACTGTCTGTGGAAAAAACACACTACAACTGGCTATAGTGGAATAAGGGAAGAAACAGAGTCGACGATCTAAGAACAATTCCATACAGAATAAAGCGTATAGAAAGCATACTTCTAACTCCGGAAAATTAGTCACTACTTATAGAAAATTTTTCCAAATTCATAAATTTTCATTTAGAAAGGTAACAGACTTGCCTTCCAAATCAAGTATATCGCACTAATAAATAAGCAACCACACACTTCATGAAAAAGCAAATAAAAAATCCAAAATTACCGTAAAGAAGAAATTTTATTCTGCATCTCCTGACTGACTTTCAGCTCCTCTCCAGGCCCGCTTTCCTTATGGACAGGCTCTGTCGTCAGACCTGCAACCCAGCCTGGGGGATAAGGGACGGGGGTGGGCCACGAGGAAAAGAGCCCCCGGGACACCCCACGACCACCGCAGCAACCCCACTCAGCCCAAAAACAAGACAAAGGACATCAAGTGGAAAATATTCAAGCCATGGAGAAATTACACGAGCACCGTGTGAGGCTACAGTAATTGTGCCTGAGGTACTACATGACAATTAAGACGGAGCCACAGTGCAGCAAATGCAGCCCAGCTGAAGGGTAAGAGCTGCCTTTCAAAAACAATTTTCATGGGAATTTAAACTCTTGCACGATGACTGTGACAATGCAAAAACGACTCAAAAGCAAACTTTTATAAGAAATGTACAAAGCAACAAAAGAAAATGAATTTCAGTAAATATTTGTAAGCCAAAAAATAGCATTAATTTTTCAAAGCTATGAGAGACATACTAAGCACTCTTAAAAATATTACTCAAATATTACTCTATAACTCAATAAGCTCGCGTCTTTCCTCTTCACTTTTTAATCAATAAAGCTTTTAATGCTGTAGGCAAGAAGACTAATAACAGTTTTCCAAAAAGTCACCATTGGAAGCAATTAATTATACATTCTTTATTACCGATTCTTTCCTTAGCTGCCTGCTATCATTTTCCTTACCTGAATATGTCGATACCACGATTTCATCATAGCCATCTTTCCCTACGCAACCACCCTGGATAGATGTGACACTTTCAGACAACATCTGAAAGGCATTTAAGATCACGCACTTCATTAGTAAGTAAACATTTCACAGTGCACCACAGCCAGCTACAGCGTTTACCGTCCCGTCCCCCTTAGATATACAATGTTTAGAAACCCAGTGCAGTCATTTATTTTTCAACCTGAAGGAAACAAGGCATATTTAAGAATAACCTAAGGTTATTCTGGTACCAAAAGCAGCAATGTATTAAGCCAAACACAAGAAGATTTTAATGTATTTCTTTAATAAACCAAAATCATCAGTTATCTAGTTACGTGACAAATAATAAACATAGCAACCTTTCTTTAAATGAACTTACCTGATCAAAGCGTAGAACAGGCTCGCTTGCGTTATCAAAGCTATACACTTGTACCGTCCCATCGTCTCGCCCAACAAGCAAGTCTTTGACCCCATCACCCACAATATCAAAGCTGTCAATACACAGAATACCTTTAAAAAAGACAAGTGGTAAGTCACCAACAACACTAATAGTTACAGCCAAGCATGTTATCAAGCAAGAGTAAAAAGTGTACACAGCAAATCTGAATGGGAAGAAACCAACAAAAAACTTGGAGCATAGCCAGAGGCCCTCTGTTTCGTAAACAACCATCCTTCTCCAACACTAACGTGCCGCGGGAGGCCACGGCCCCTAAGCCCCGGACTCCACAGCCCCAGCTCCATCCATCCAGGATGCCCCTCAGCACCTTCTCTTAGACACATGTCTGCATCTCGACTTTCCAGGCCCAACACAACTCTCTATCCCTCTCTTCACCACACCTCCCCAACACTCCTTTCGCCTTTCTCCGCGGCTCATCTCAGAATAATACCACCCAGTTGCTCAGACCAAAAATCTAGACTACACCCGACTTTCCTTTTCTCCCTCCCCGTATCAAACATACTAGCAAATTCTAGCAACTCTACACCCAATATTTATAATGAAATCGTTTCCTTCTTTCCACTTCCAAGCAACTACCATCAGCCTAGTAGGCACTAGATGAGCAGCCATCTCACTTCTTACATATCCGGTATAAATTCTCCTTAGAAAGATGTGAATTCCTTAGAAGACAGGAATATCCCGACCCACTGTACTTCTTCCTTGCCTCATATCAAGTCTCTCCAGATTCTAATTAATTCCCTACACCAAACAATTAAAAAAAAATTTTAGCATAGAATGTTATAGATGGAAATTAGCCCCTAAACATCTATTGATACCAAATTATTAGTAGCATTTTTCACTTAATAATTATGCCAAAAGTGTAACAGATTAACTAAAGAACAAATTAATCTGAGGTAGTTTGTGATTGCTAAGTCAGCTATAGATATATGAATACATAAAACAGAATGAACTATAAAATTCACAACATTTTACTTGATAACCACTGAATTTTCAGAATATGAACATAAAACATACCTCCCCTTTTTTTCTCATTTCGAATTTCACTCTTGTGTATTGGTTTGGATGACGTGATCTGAATAAGTCCAAGTTTTCCATCTGACGTTCCAAACCAAAGGTCTTCTCCAGAGTCACCTATAGTTAAAACCAACAAATATGCATCCCAGAGCCCATAACATCTCCCTAGCCATGAAATTATTTCCATCCAACGATCTCATTTCAAAATATAAAAACAAAATTTAATTTGAGAGGATGGGTTATATATTCACAGGACTTTATAAGAAGTTATGACTCTTTCCCATCAACTAACTCTAAGATGAAGAAACTAAAAATTACAGTTCAGTAACTTACTATTAGTTACTGGCAAGTAACTGTCCTAATTCTACTTCATGTTCTTTCTACAATTTCCCATTTTCACTTAATACTTTTCATGAACCTGCAAATAATTAAAAACCTAAAACAGGGGACCTGAAGCTACATAGCACACTCCCGTAGCGACTGCAAAACCAGGCCCTGGTTACCGCCATTTCCGTTGTGGGGTGTGAGGACAGTAGGTGGGCCAGGAACTTCAGTTTCATACATCACATCAGATCCCTGAAGGAGAGCAAGCATGTAAACTTAAACAGAACCCAAATATACCATCGTACAGGCACACACACACAGATAACATCAATGTTCATTTAAAGGACTCTAGAATAAAACTGCAGAAAAAAATGAGGTCATGATTTTTAACTAGTAATTATTAGCACTTTTGCATATATTAACTCACTTTTAAACAAAGAAAAACACAGAAAGTGTAAAGACCAAGGAGACAGATATTTAAAATACTCTCCACTTTAAATACATTCCATTTTAAATATGCTGCTTGCTTGAAAACTTGACACTAGTAAACTATCCTACCAAAACTTTCAAGGAACACGTTGTTTCTTTTTTGTCCTTTCAAACTCTAGGCATCTAGCTCAGACCGCATTCAGTCACTGGAACAGACCCAAAGTCACCTTCTAAGGAGAAAGGGGACGCTACCTTCGGGTATTTACCAAACCCCTCCAGTGACAGGCTGATGATCTGCTATTTAGGCAAGAAAACCTCATCATTTTTTTACTTTTTACCCTTTTAATGCTTGTAATTTAGTACAGTATTTGTGAAGCTGTTAAAGATTGAGGTGTAAGTACTACACTCACACGAAAAAAACAATATATGTGACAAAGTATTCAAGGAAAAAATTCCCAGAATTATAATAAACGCATGCCATTTTGTTTAAAAAGTTCAAACATTGACAGGATATACGAAAGGTCACACGCTTTATCTTATCTCACGAAAATAACTCATTTCAGTGTTCATCACATTCATCTAAATTATTAAAAATTGTAAAGTTGCAAATAACAGCAACCTGTAAGACTCTGAGCACTCTGTCCTGGCAAGCCAGCACGGGTGTGACACGAGGGACCCTCTCCACGGGAAGGCAGGTCACATCGTTGATTTTGTCCCCCGAAAGGTAATAATGCTGGTCTTTGCAGTCACAGTAGTGGTTATAGATGTAACTTGCACTGAGAAAGAGGTCTGAGCCAGATATGTGCCTGAGAACATCAAATAAAAATTTAAGACAATCATATTTAAAGAACTAAGCATAGGGAACTCTGAATTTTCTTCTAGAGATGAAGACAGTTTATACCATTACTTTCATTTCATCATGGAATTAGAGAACAGAGGGGTTTGTGGCTCTTTTTCATTCCCTCCACTTAATTTCTAACTTTTTTTGGTGTAACTGTTTAGATTTTGAAAGCTGAAAATGAACATCTTAAGACCCCAAGCTTCTTAAAAATTAAGCTTACAAAAATTAAAAACTAAGATAATGATAATTGTCGGTGTCCAAAGACACTAATATAAAAAAGTAGCCACTTTTAATACCATGTGCCAAACACTGTCCTAGGTGACGTGTCACAGCCTGATGGACCCTCAGAGCTCAGGTGGTCCTGGCTCCTGTGGGCCTGCCTACTGCCACGCAGAACTGCCTGGAAAGGTCTAGTTCAAGGGAACCTACTTTAACCTAAATGCTAAACGGTGGGAAAAAATTATTTTAATAGAATTTTATTTTGGAAAAAAAGAAATGACAATGTTAATTTTCAGTTACATTTAACAAAATTTAGGTAATAATCACAGCTACATTCTAATTTTTAAGCTCAATCCAATTTTCACAAGGGGAGTTGAAATTTTGTCACAAATTTATGTCCTGCTGTATTTGTATTCTTTCACTTACAGATTCCTTCCACCTATATGATCATAAACAGGGTAATTTTATTTGGTTTCATCTGTTTCTCCACCCCCTAAGGTGTAAAGATTTCTGATACTAAAATTAGCCTCTGAAGAGTTTACCCTTAATGACTTGACTTCTCACCATGCTGTTTAGGTTAATTATCGCCTAGCTTTGTGGCTCTGTGTAAGGTCTCAGCAGTTCTCTTAATATCGTATTTATTAACCTTGTGAAATTCTGTATCTTTTCCAAGATCTCTAATTCCATTCTGAAGTCCATTTATATGATATCATCCAAAGTACTATGTGGCAACCACCACTGTTGACCAGAGTGGGGATAAATGAAAGATTTAAGCAGGGTAGGCTGTGAGGGTGATAACGGGTTTGATAAATGGTCAGTTTCCTCACTGAGTGTTTTTAAGCTAAAACCTTGTTTTCCTAAGCAACCGCATGAAAGTGAATATTCAGATAACAAATTTCCAGAAATCGAGGGAAAATCTTTCCATCCCACCTCTGCCACTCCAGTAACAACATTATGAAACTACCCAGAGACGACCGGCTCAGAAACTCCTTATCGTCCTCACGCCTCGGTCCCCATACCTTTTTCTGAAATATTAAGAGACGCTAGTAATTTATTATTTTTATATTAGTATTTCACAGCTATCACTGGCCAAAAGCATTTTGAAAGCATATGATACAGAATTACACGAGACATTGTGCACTACACAGAATTCTGCACTGAATCAGTGGCTTTAAATCGAGTTCTAACCACCTTTAAATACTAGCTACATCCAATTCAAATAATTTTTTTCCTTTCAACCCACTTTGAATAACACTGATTCTGTAGGTACAAGGTCTCGATTGTTTTAAGCTTCCAAGGGGTTCTCCTAAGTGGGGGTTTAAAGAACAGTGGAGTAGATGAACTTTAAATTCCTTTCCAGGCTCCCCTCATTCAAAAACTAAACCTTTAATTGCAAATTTCACACATGCTTTTCGCTTGAAGTCTTGCCTGAGCCCCCTGAAAGCACACCCTGTGGGCAGTCAGCAGCTCTGACAGTGGCTTTTAACAAAAAGAGCCTCAAAACTAGAACACCCACGTACACCAGAGACAGGAGGTGACAAGCATGAGGATTTCTTTCACTTTTTTCTTTATGTATTGACTATGAATCATAACTGGACCAGTGAAAAAAGGAATGTATAAATGCCATAAAAGCCTTAGAAAACATTTCAACAACCAAGTGATTTTGGATTGATACCAGGTCAAATTAATTTCTGACTAATAAGGTACATTTTGTCTATTTCATTTCCTAGAAGACCTATTAAGATATGGTACTCAATCAGATATTCATCATCTATCCAAACTACCATAACTGGACATGCAGTAAGACAAAAACAGAACAATGAACATACATAGCTTTGATGCTTTCAGTGAGGTTTGTTTCAAAAGAGAGGAACTGTTTTCCCCTCTTTGTGAAGCCTCTAATCTCAGAACCTGCAGCAATAAAGATTTTCTCCTGAGGTGTGTTAAGAACCCCTCCAAGCTCCAGTCTTGCGATCTTCTGCCCTGGCAAAGTCTTGAACACTGCCTGCAAAAATCATTGGGGAGAAAATTAAGCATAAATACTTACAGTAAGTGTTTTGCTTTACCGTAAAAAAATACTGTGATTTTAAATTTACAGTAAAGTATAGTTCTACATATACAGAGACACCTTCAGATATAAGTTTATTCCAGTGGGTCTCTGGGTTTTTTCAACTTTGGAATATCTAATCTCACATATATTTCAATGACATCATTAGTATCTTGCTTTTACAATTCAAGGTAGGGTTCTAAGCAGCAACTAGTGTACCACTAGCCTTATTAAAGATGCAGAATCTCAGCCCAACCTCAGATCTACTGAAAGAGAATCTGCATTTTAACGAGATTTAGCAACTGGTTCTATGCAAGTCGCACTGCACATGCCTGCACAGTACACCTGCCGCCAGGGAGGGCCAAGCCCCCAGCGTCTGTGACAGGCTTTTGACATTAGTCATTTTCAAAAACTAACCCCTCCTGGCTACTTTATAATTTCTATTAATTTTGGAAGAATAAATAGAACTTACTGAAAACATGAACTTATGACTTAATACCTATAGTCTATTTAACTGGAAACACTGATGTCATTCATTTCTATTATTTCTATTTTATTACTGCTATCAGTTTCTTCCCCCTGTCCCAGTGATTTTATAAACATAATAAAATATCTGAGAAAAAAATATATCTAGTGGAAATACTGGGTTTCTGGTCATTTTCACCCTCTTAATCTTTTTGTAAATTCCATGTAACATAAAAAGAACAGAGTTCACATCGCAAGCATGCCACTCACACACTATGCTCTGTGAGCACGATGCAGTCATCACTTCCTTGACCCGGTCACACTAACTGGCAAAGGGATGGGGTGTCACTGCTGGGCTAGTCACAGATGACTTCGCCCCAGCAGGCTGGATGGGCACCAGCTACCACGCCGCGAGCAGCTGTGGGAGCACAAGGCAAGGGGCGGAGGGCAGGCCCTGGCTTTCAGACAGCAAGAACGAGGGGACTTCATCCTTCAACCAGAACTGACTCTGTCAACAAGCACGGGCGGGACGGTCCCAAGTCCAGAGAGGGACAGACTGGCTGACCCCTAGACTGCAGCCACATAAGAGCAAGCGCTTGGGCTGGAAACGACAAGGTGACATGCGCTGCTTTATGCCCCTAAGTTGGAGGTAACTTGTTACACGATGTAGAAAATGAACATACCACCTTGGGTTGTCAAAGGCACTTTCCCACTAGTTAACGAGTGACTCTTGCTCCTGCAGTCTCATACCTCAGACGATTTCTTCTCACAACCCATTTTTCATCGTGTTTCAGAAAATTTTTAACCTAGGTGTACTCTGCAAGTCGTGTGTTGCCCTTTTAGAAAATTCCTATCTCACCTAAAAGGTATACTTACCACTGCTTCTCCTTTCTTCATGCCAAAACACATAACCACCCCATCATGATCTCCAATAACCACCTGTAACAGATTGAAGAGAATCCAAAAATACTATTAAAATTTTTTGAAATGAATAAAATCACTAAACTATGCCCTACTAACTATATATAAGTAAAACAAGATTATCAACATACAAATTATGATCTTAAAAGGAAAGGCATCTCCACAAAAGCAATCCTCCAAAGGATTGGGAGAAAGGGTCAAGAAGGTCACTGATGGCAGTGGCTGGCCATGCCTCCTGGCCCCACAGTGTAAACCAGACAAGACAGCAGGGACAGAAATGAGGGGGAGATAAATTTTTCCCCTTCACTGGAACACAGAAGCATTTTAAGATTAACTTCCAAAACAGTTTATTAAAATAAGGTTGTAACTAACCTATATGGTATCTCTAATGGAAAAATATTTAACATAAGCAAAAGTAAACAAGTATCATAATAAACTCCCAGGGATCCATCACTCAGCTTCGACAACTATCAAGAAGGCCAACAGATTCTTTTGAAACATAAAGGAAGGGCCTCCCCGGTGGCACAGCGGTTGAGCGCTGGGTTGTGAAGCTGCCGGCAGCCTCTGCAGCACTGGTTTGATCCACGGCCACCGGCGAGGGTCCCGCATGGTGCCACAGACTTCTCCTGCCGCCCGCTGCTCCCCTTAGCAGTGTGTTTCGTTGGTCTGCCTGCTCTGCTCCCCGCTCTGGCTCTGGTGGATTCTCTCACCCTCCCGCGCTTCTGACTGTACCCAGTGCTTGTATAAGTAAATAAATAAATCTTAAAAAATAAATAAATCTTTAAAAAAAAAGAAATATAAAGGAAGATGTTAACACTTCTTAGAAACTGAGAATCAAGCAGATAACAAATATGAATGCAGGCCTAGCAACAACCACTCTTGACCTAACATGTAATAAGAAACACGTGTGTACACATGTCCCTGGGTGTGTGTGTGCAGACAAACAACAGAGGCCACGGCCCGGAAACTGAAGTGCGCGTGTTCTTCCCAAGCACGAGGGAGGCTCAGACCCCTGGGGCTGCTGTCCGGGCCACCAGGGCACACGCCAAGCCTCGGTCTCCAGAAGCCCGGGCGGCTCAGATCGCGCTCGGGGGCCGTGGGCCTTGTTTCCCGAGGAGCGGGTCACACACACCTTTGTGAATTTGACCACAGCCGTGGATGTTCTTCCCAGAACAGTGACCATCCAGAAATGACCACGTGCGCGTTTCCAGGAGGCCGGGAGATGAGGGACACCCGTCGGTCCGTCTCCCCGCAGCCCCACCTCTGCTCCGATGAGCAGAAACTCCTTCCCCTTCGAAACGGGCACGTCACGGCGGGCGGGCACTCACCGGGCACTCACCGCGGGCGGATCGGGGCGCGGGCACCTACCTTCTGCGGGGCTCCGCGTCTGGCGGCGGGGAGCAGCTTCAGGGTCTCCGGCGAGGTCACGCCCACCTGCGGGGCGGCAGCCTGAGCGCGGGTCGCGGCCCGGCCCGGCCCGGCCGAGGCGCCGCGCGGGTCCCCGCGGCCGGACACCCGGGCACGGCGGGGACGCCGCCCCCGACGCGGACCGGGGCAGGGCCGCGCCCGCGCCACGCGCCCCAGAGCTGCAGCCGCCCGCGGCGGGGGGCCGGGGGGCCGAGGGCGCTGGGGGCGCCGCCGCGAGGAAGGACACGGCGGCCCCTCCCGCCGGCCGCCGACGCCCGCGACCCGCGCCCGCCCGCGCCCCCTCGGGGCTCCACCCCGCACCCCCGCTCCAGCTCCCCCCGCGTCCCGCCCCGCCCCAGCCCGCCCCGGGCTCCACCCGTTCCCCGCCCCCAGCCCCGCCCCGGGCTCCACCCGTTCCCCGCCCCCAGCCCCGCCCCCTGGGCTCCACCCGTTCCCCGCCCCCAGCCCCGCCCCGGGCTCCACCCGTTCCCCGCCCCCAGCCCCGCCCCGGCTCCACCCACCACGCCTCCAGCCCTCCCCGCACCCCGCCCCCAGGCTCCGGCCAGCCCCGCCCCCAGCCTTTACCACGCCCCAAGCCCGCCCCAAGCCGTCACCACGCCCCCCCAGCCCGCCCCCAGGCTCCGGCCAGCCCTGCCCCGCCCCCGCTGGGCTCCACGCAGCCCCGCCCCCTGGGTACCACCAGCCCCGCCCCAGCCTCACCACGCCCCATCCCCGCCCCCGGGATCCAGCCAGCCCCGCCCCCTGATTACCACCAGCCCCGCCCCCAGCCTTCACCGCGCCCCCAGCCCCGCCCCCGGAGTCCAGCCCGCCCCGCCCCGCCCCGCCCCGGCGCCAGCCCTCCCCGCGGCCCGGCCCGCCCCCGGCCTCCACCGCGCCCCCGCCCCCGCCCCGGCTCCCCGCCCCGCGCGCCGCCGGCGGCCGCGCCGCCCGAACCCACCTGGACGTAGTCCGCGCGGTGCAGGCTCAGGTCCATGACGGCCGCAGTGCGCCTCAGCCCCGCGCCGCGCCGCGCCCGGTGAGCAGCGCCGGCACCCGCGCCTGCGCGCCCGGCGGCGGCCCGTTCTCGCGAGAGCGCCGAGGCCCCGCCCCGGGCCGCCAATCGCCGCGGGGAGGGCGGGCGGCGCCGCCGGTTTCCGGGGCGACCGGGGACGCCGCGCCCGGCGCGAGCGGGGACCCGGTGCCCCGGCCGCTGACGGGGAGGCCGCAGCGAGCGTCCCCCCGGCTCGCACCCCGGCCCCGCAGGCGCGCCGGCCGCGCCAGGCACCCCCGCCCTGGCTGCGCGCGGCGTCCCGGCCCGGGCGTCCCGGCGAGCGCCCGCGGCCCCGCGCCCGCGTCTGACCGCCGGCCGGCAGGGGCGCCCGCGTCCGCGCCCGGCCCGTGGGAGCCGCGCCCGGGTCCCCCCGCGCGGGCCCAGAGCGCGGGCGCGCCCGCGGGCCCGGGTTGCGGCGGCGCCGGGCCCGGGCCCTCGCCCCGCCCAGGAGACGCGCGCTCTGCAGGCGGGGCCCGCGCGAGCCGGGCTGGCTGGGCCGCCGCCCTCCCAGGCGCGGGGAGTCGATGCTGGCGGCGGCCTCCGCGCTGCCCACCCGGGGCGGGCGGGCCGGGGCAGCAGGCAGGAGCGGGGCGAGGACGCTACGGCGCCCCCTGCCCGGGCTGCGGGACCCCAGCGCCTCCGAACGCCCCCAACGGCCAACGGGCCAGAACCAAAACCAAGGGCTGGAGTCCAGCAAAGGACAGTGCCCGAGGCGAGGACCGGTCAGCCCCCGGGTCTCGCCCGCACGCGCCATTGCAGGGGACCCTGGGCTCCAGGAACAACCCTCTGGGGTTTACTTTACAAACAGGGGAGACAAAGAGCTCACGGTGGCCGAGCATGGCGGCTGCCTCGCCCAGAGAACTCAGTCATGGAAACTCCGTGTCTTTATTATTCGTATCAAGTGCAGTAGCAGAGCCAAGGAATCCAGTACTTCAGTCAGGTCTGAGGTAGAACATAAAATATATAAAGTGAGGAAAACGTCTGAGACAAAACACCAGTAGCATAGTAGTGAATCGACAACGGCAGCAAAAGTGTATAAAGTTCTTTTAATTCAACTCCCAAAAGCAGGAGTAAATAAATAATATCTAAAGAGCTTTACGCAGTCCCCTGTAAGGTCCGCTTTGTCTCCATGTCTAGAAAACCTTCCTGGAGTCAGCCGCGAGCACTCAAGCACCACGCAGAGATCGGATTTTAGAGCCTGTGACAGGGCCTTTGAGCTATGATCACCACTCGCGTGCCTGCAAGACTTGACAGAAACACGACGGAGAGAGCTGAGATGTGAACAGGCCCCTAAGAGTGGCTTAGCCCTAGCTGGATACAAAAAAAATACTTGGGGATAAAAACCCCCAAATGTCCTAGGGCCTGTGAGAACAAGCATAGGCATGGCCTTTGCCCAGCACAGTCTTAGCTCAGTTCCACAATAAGCCCGTGTAGACACATCACCTATTCTGGGCAGGAAGAGAGCTGAGATGCCTTCCTGAGAAAGTGGGTGTCAGGGGCTTCCCTGGTGGCCCAGGGGTTAGTCTCGGAGCTATCAAGCTATCAGCAGCCTCTGTAGTACGAGTTCAGTCCCTGACCAGGGAGCTGACCCACAGGGTGCAGCAGACCTCTCCTGTCTCCCCGCTGCTCCCCTTGGCAGTGAATTTCAGTGGATCCGCCTATTCTGCTCCCCACTCTGTCTTTGGGGAATCAGTCGCGGTAGGCAATGAAGGCCAGGGGCCCCCACATCCTCAGGGGCTCTGCCCTCTTCCCAGTCTCCCATGTGGCACCCTCCAAATCTCAGAATGAGGCTCCTGCAGATTAGGGACTCAGTGGTCAGAAATTGGGCCCTCGCAAGACAGCAACACTGGAAAAGCCCAGCTTGGAAACTCTCACCACGCTGCTGACTGATTCACACAACTGAAAGCAAAGAAGGTCACGACAGACGAGCGAGAACACACACGTTAGGGCAATCTTTAATGTGTTGTTTTGAGCAATCCCATAAACTTGACTATGTAGTGCGGTTATATTTCCTAGTAGCCCGTTTCAGTGTTGAATTCTTCACTTGGAGTTCCATGGTTCTAGGGTTATCAGTGACGCTACAAATTCTAAGAAAACCTCACCCAGCCATAGTCTGGTTGTAAAATTTCTTCCGTTATTTTGTTAAAGAAAAACCCCAGCACTGGCTCGCGGGGGAGCGCTACAGGGAGCCGGCCAGGCCCTCGGGTGGTGGTTTTAACGACGTGGGTGGAGCACCTGCGGGCAGCAGGGGTCGCTCTGGGCTCTGGAGACACAGGTGGGCGGACGCGGTCTGTCCCCAAGGAGCGCACGGCCTCCTGCAGGCCAAGGCCCTCACCCTAACCTGACAAACGCTCCGGTAAGCGGGGCCCTCAGACCAAAGGTGAGTCATCTACAAGGTCAAGGCAGATAAAACAGACCGTTTTTATGTGATAAGAGAGTAAACTCGTCAAGGCCTGACTGTGGGAGGGCCACACGATAGACAGTTGACGCTAACACGTACACCGGGGTTTCAAGTAGTTCACAGGTGGGACATTATTGCCGCGTGTGCCACAGCCAGGCCCGGCCAACCCCGCTCAGCGGGCGGGGAGCAGCTTCTCGCTGAGCTTGTGGACCAGGACGGCCAGCTCCTCGGTGGCCTGGCTCTTGTCCTCCAGCAGCTCGTAGCGGAGGCTGGAGATGTCTTGCTTGATTTCCTTCAATTCACCTGCGGGGGTGCAGACAGGACAGAGCGTGAGGTCAGACACACGGACGCGTCTGCTTCCCAGCGTCTCCAAGGGAGTCATTTCAGATTTTTCCTGTACATTTTTTCGGACACGTCCATCTCCAGCAACGTGCCGGCCCGGATCTGACCACGGGCTCAGCCCCCGGGCACAGGCGGGGTGTCCCCAGCGCTGACCCGCGGGGCGGCCCCTCGGCCCGGGCGCCCCAGGCCCGGCGGGTTGGGGGGATCTCAGGCGAGGACACGGGACGAGGCCCCGGGGCTCGAGATCCTCACGGGGAGAAAACACTCCAAGTCAAGTACGAAGTGGGGGGCGGGAGGCGGACTTGGGGTGCTCCTGGGGAGGGCGGGGCGCACGGCGCGGGGCGCGCAGGTGGGGGAGGCGCGCGCGGAGGTGCGGGGAGCGGGTGGGGGGCCCTGGGGCGCCCCGTGACCCCGCGGGAGGCGACATCCGAGCCCCGCAGGTCGCAGGTGACACCGGCCGTCTCGGCTGGGGGCGGCGGCGGGCGGGGGGGGGGGGCGGTCCGGGCCCGGCTTCCGGGCAGGGGGCGGGGGCGCGGGGCGCGGCACCCCGCGCGGCTGTGGCGGGTGACGTCCGCGATCGTCCCCGCGGTCAGAGGGTCCCGCTCCCCGGAATCCTCGTCCCCCAGACCCCGCGCAAAGCTTTGCCTTCGGGGTTCCGAAAAGGAAAAGCGCTTCTCCTGGGTTCGGGGGTTCGGGCGGGAGCCTCCGGTGGGGCCCGTGGGGGCGGGGCCGCCCGCTTGGAGTGGGGGCGCTTAGGGGGTGGAGCTGCTGGGATCCGGGGTCCGTGGGGGCATCTCGGTTGGGGGGCTGGGGAGGGGGTCCGCGCGGCTCCGGGGGGCTGGGGAGGGGGGTCCGCGCGGTTCCGGGCCGGCTTGGGGCCGCACCCCCTGCTGGACTCGGCCGGGGCGCGGCGGGAAGCGACACCCCTGGGCTCGGGCTGTCCCGCGCCCCAGATCTGACCCGCGCGGCCGGGGCTGGGGCTGGCGGTGTCCAGGGCCCCCCAGCGCGGCCCGTGGGCGCTCCGGAGGCCGCGCCCGCCCCGCCCGCGGCCCAGGCCCAGGCCCTGCCCCGCCGGCCGCACTCGCCCGCGGAGCCGGCCCGGCCCGCTCGTCTCTCCGGGTCGGTTCCGTCCCGCTGCGGCCCGTGCGGCGGGCTCCGGCCGGGGAGACGCAGGCCCGCGCACCCCCGGCCCCCCCGCCCCCCCGTCCCCGCCCCCCCCCGTGCCCCCCGCCCCCCCGTGCCCCCCGCCCCCCCGTGTCCCCCCGCCCCCCGGCCCCCCCGCCCCCCGGCCCCCCGTGCCCCGCCCCCCCGGCCCCCCGTGCCCCCCCGCCCCCACACCCCCACCCCCCCCCTTGGCCCGAGGGCGGCGCCCACCTTCGTTGACCTCGTCGTTCTCCTTGTCCACCTGCGCCTTCAGCACGTAGCGCTTGATGAGGCGCTTCATGATCTGCTGCGGGGAGAGGCGCGCCCGGTCAGCCGAGGCCTCGGGGCGCCGACGCGGAGACGCTGCCCGGACAGCCCGGGGTCCCCGCACGCCCGAGGCCCCCGAGGCCCCCGCCTCCGCGAGACCCCCGCGCCCCGGGTGGTCACGCTCCGGCGTGGGAGGTTAAGTCGGGGCCCCCGTGGGGCGCGAGGGCTGAGCCGCAGCAGGAAGCGCCCGCAGCCTCTGCGCGAGTTCGAGCCCCGGCCAGGGAGCGACCCACAGGGCGCGGCAGACCCCCCCCCCCCGCCCCCAGCAGTGGCTCCAGCCAGTCTGCCTGTTCTGCTCCCCTCTGTCTCCGGAGAATCTTCTCACACACACACCCCCATCTCTGGCCCGCACCCCAGCTCTTGTTTGCACAAATAAATACATCTTTAGAAATAAAATAAAAAGTTAAGCTGGAAGATTTCAATTCCCGGCTCTTTAACTGCTAACGTGTCTTGTCAGGGGACACGGACGCGTCCTCACCTGCGGCCCCACCTTACCTCTCACGGCAAAAAATATGAATATACGATCACCACAGATAATTTTGGAAAACACCGAGGAAAACAAAAGAAACAAACAAAAACCCTCGTTTATCCCACTATTCAAATCGCTCACTGTTGCTATTTTGGCCTATGTCTTTCCAAGGTCTTCTCCTTGAATTTTGTCTGCATGTTAGTGACCGTGTGTGTCGCGTTTCATGCTCTCTAAACGCCACACACTCCACGGTGTTTCCTGCCTCCCTCTTGGAGCAGCAGGTGTGTGATTAGGTTTCAATTGAAATAAATGTACTTAGGATCATTGTTTATCCACATGGGGAAAATTAAATAGGAGCCCCAGTTCATGCCATGCACACAAAAATCAATCCCACATGCATCTAAACTGAGAAACAAGGAATTTAAATACTTTAAAGAAAGTATAGGAGAATATATTTATAAATTCAGGGGACAGTTGGATATTTTTCAGATAAGATAAAAATTCTTATCATAATACAAAAGATTAATAAATTCCCCTTCATTACAATTTAAAACTTCTGTTTCGAATAAAACTTCTGATACCATAAAGAAAGGGAAAAGCCAAGTCACAAACTGGGAGAAAATATTGGCAATAGTTATAATTGATGAAGAATTTGGGTCTAAAATATCTGAAGAACTTCAATTAAGAAAAACTCAACTAATGCAACAGAAAAAATGGAAAAAAAGACCAACAGGCATTTCACAGAAAAGGAGACATGAGCCGTCAAACACATAAAACAGACTCAAACTCTCCGTAGGGAAATATAAATTGTAATTAAAAGGAGATACAGTTTTATATTTAAAAAGGGGAAAAACAGTTAAGTCTTATAATGCCAACAGCAAAGGGCCCGGGCCAGCACTTGTGACCACTTTGAAAGCCGTTTGGGGTGGCCCCTGGCAGAACATCGCCATGGCCAAGAGCGCAGAGAAGCTTCGACGTGTGGCCGGAGAGACATAAACACTGTTTACAGCGGCCTTGTCCAAAACAGCAAAATAACTGGAACGATCTAACAAATATTAATAAGACTAGACAGAAAGACCAGGGTTTGTTGTAGAATGCAATGTCATTGTTTTATAAATAATGAAACTATTGAGATTAATGAACCACCGACACACACAAGAGTGCAAATGAATCTCAGAAGCATAAACATTCAATGAAAATCCAAACTGCAGACTTCACAAAGTATGAATTATTCTTACAAAGCTCAATAACAAGTAAACCTGCATAATGCATTTGTGAACATCTATATCTGCAGCAAGCCTAGGTGGTAAAAGAAAAACAAGACGAAAGGACAAGAAACCCAAACTGGAGGTCAGTGACCACCTCTTAGTGGGGGTGGGGGCCCCTCAGCAGATGCCCCCCTGGGGGGCGTGCCAGCAGCCCGGCTTCGTCATTTCCTGTCACAGACTCCTGTGCACACAGCCACCATCAGAGGAAAAGGCGACGTGAAGGGGGAGGTCTGAGCTAAGCAAAGGTGACGTGGGGTGGGAGACACACCTCGGCTTTCAGTAGAAATTATGGATGGAAGGGACCCAGTGGATGTCGTGGTCAAGTTGAAGGGGGTCCAGGACAGGACAATCCAAAATGTCGGTCTCAGTAAATAACCACAAACCAAGAGGGGCCCGTGACCGGGAGAGAAAGCCGATTTTACCAACCACGGTCAAATGTAAACCCTACTGAGCCCCGTGGGACGCAGAGCCAGGCTCACAGGCCTTGGCTCTTGGCCCGGACGGGTCCTCTCACCCACGAGAGGTCACCAGTCAGGCTGGGGGGAGCTGGGGACAGGCCAGCGCCTGTGGCCCCAGACTCGTGAGCCGCAGAGTGAGTCTGTGGGGCAGCGAAGGCAGCTCCCATGGGGAGAAGACAGAGAAGCTGCACCAGCTCCAAGCAGCTGGAAAGGCAGTGGCACAGCCGGCAGGAAAGAAAAGCTAACCCGCCGCGAGTCCTGAGGCGTCCTAGGGGAAGTCAACACCGGCTCTCCACCTTGTGCCGCTGGAGAAAACAGGCCAACGGGATGAAGACTCAAAAATGAAAAGCAAAACTTTGAAGGGAGTAGTTAAAGATTTCTTGAAAAAGTTCAAAGAAACGACAAGCCCTAAAGACGGACAAACCTGATGAGGGTCAGACAACCTACACCTGCTACTCCGGCCAGGCTCCCGAGGGCACGGCACCTAGTGTCAGAGGGGATTTTGCTGTTTTCCTGGAATCGCAGACAAAGGTGCCACGTCCCTCATGGCTCGGCTCTCAAAGGCAAGGCGCCGCCTGAAAATCAGCCTCCACCCCTCAGTTCCGTGGAGCCACCGCTGCCGGGAGACGGGGCAGGGAGCGTGCCCAGGCCGGGCTGCCGTGCACAGGGGCTGGCTGCGAGGACGAGGGGCCGGCGTGCGCCGTGGCCGCCGTCTCACAGCGAGCGGCTGGAGCCTCGGGCCTGGTGGGGGACGGAGGCGGCACCCTCTGGCAGAGTCAGGACAGGTAAGTGCCATATGAGCACCTCATTCATAGGACTAGCACCCCCCCCCCATCAGTTAGCTTCGGCAAAGCAAAGGATCCGTCGGTCTCAGTGGCGACGGCACTGCAGGCAAGAACTGTCCGCCGCACGGACGGGCCAGCCCGAGAGTGACGCCCCGCCCCGCCGCCGGTGACCTCGCGCTAGAAGTCAAAGGACCCGAGCATCGATGATGACCAGGCAGACGGGAGATAAGAGACCGCACTCCCGAGGTGGAGACCGGTGCCCGCAGTCGCAGCCAGCATAACCCCGCAACGAGGCTCAGGCAAGACTGAGCAAAGGGAGGGCCCAAGGGCCTGCCTGCAAGCGTGTCGCTGGAAGGAAGCCACGGCACGCGACGAGGCTTCACGCTGAGAGCACTGCTGTCCTGACCCCCATGTCCCCGCTTCCCCCCGAGGCGCACGCACCTGCGTGCTGGGACAGCCCCGGCAGCCATGTTTCCAGCCCCACAGAACACCTCTCGCTCCTTGACTGAGAACAAAACGGAGGGCTCGAGCTGATTCTAAAACCCTCCTGAACTGGGCCGCCCCGGTGGCGCAGCGGGTTGAGCACAGCACTGTGAGGCCGTCCGCAGCCTCTGCGTTACGGGTTTGATCCCCCACATGGCGCGGCAGACCTCTCCTGTCTCGCCCGCTGTGCCCCTCAGCAGTGTGTTTCAGTCAGTCTGCGCTCTGTTCCCCACTCTGTCTGGTGAATCCTCTCACCCTCCCGCCCCCCTGCCTCTACCCCAGTGTAAAACCCAGTTTAAAAAATAAAAAAATAAAGCCCCCCCGAACTAAGCTGCCAGTATCTCCAGCCAACCCTCATGGTCCAGAAGAAGGACAAGTCTCTGCACACAGCACACGCAGCACATGCAGCACACGCAGCACACGCAAGGACAGCACACGAGATGCAACCACAACACACATAGGAACACACACACATGTAACACACACGCAGCACACGCTCAGGAGCACACACACAGGAGCCTGGAGATGGACACGAGCCACATGCAGACAAGGGTGGGCCCAGACCTGCTTACCTGGTAGCGTGTCGGCTGAGTGAGGATACTGTTAAAACTGTGTGATTCAAAAACTCTTGAGTTAGACTGAGTGAAGAGGTTTAACTAGGAAAAAATACAACAATCTAGTAAATTAGAATCCAGCCATTTGGAAACCAAAAGCACAGCCCACTCTATTCCGCGAGCATCCCAGGAGAGAGCACGTCTGGGACGAGCTTGTGGCAGTTGAGTTTCACGGGTGACTTACTGGGTTTCCAAAGTTAAAAACATCCCTGCACAACAGGCTCACGGTCACCCGAGGTGGCGAGACATGCAGGGGCAGGGCGGCCCGCGTCTCCTGTCCACGGGCCGTGCCAGGCCCCCCACCCCACAGTGGGGCCCCGAGCCCTGGGACCCTACACAGCTGCCCGGTCCCTCATTCCCCAGCATCCAGGCCTTACACTGAGGAAAACATTCACACTTCGGAGGAGAACTGGGTTTAAATGTTAGCTTTCCTTTCTTTTTCCTTTGAAGGCTTAACTTCTATCAGAACAGGAGCAGTGCAGGGCCGGACCCCTGCGCGCGCGTCAGGCCCAGAGGGCCCCTCAGGCCATGCCTGGACTTGGTGCCCGGCGGGGGTCTGGCCCAGCCCCCACGTGAGCCAGGGCCACCAGAAAAGGCAACTTCGGGTGACTTTCTTAAAAGAAAGACAGAATTTCTCCAAGTGTTACTACATTCGGGACACAGAAAATATCTGTGAATATGAATAAGATTAGAGAGATTTAAAACCCCTCCAGGGGCAACTGAAAATAACCCCCAAGGCAGTTTGTCAGGGGGGGGGGGGCGCTGGCTACTCCCCTCCTCTGTGGCCAGGGTGGGCTTGGGTGGGGCCATTGGTTGCTGCCCCCAGGGGCCTGTGGAGGAAGCTGTGAGGTCAGAGGGCACCATGAGGCTGTGGCGGGCAGCAGCTCCTCCAGCCAGTATGTGTCCACTGAACCCCGCGCCCTGATGAGCTCCCGAGAGGCACAGCAGCCTCCCAGCTGTACCTCCCAGCAGCCTCCCGAGGGTGGCGCCCAGGTCTCTGGGTCACCAGTTGCCCCAGGCAGCCTGCCTCGCCCGGCCACCTGGGGCTGCGGAGTCTGATGGGCAAAGTGGAAGAGGAGTCACACCTACCTCGCAGCGCTGCAAGAGGCCCCAGTGCACAGCAAAGCACTCTGTAAACTGCAGGTGAGGAAGGCACTCGTGTTTGCAGAGGCTGGAGCTTTCCGCGCTTCGCATCAAACTCACAGTTTCCCTCTCAGATGGGGGGATCGTGGGGGGCTTGGTCGGGCAACGCCTCCCCAGCACAGAGGACCAGGTGGGGGGCACGGCCAAGCCCAGCTCGCGACCCGACAGCCTCAGGGGCCACAGCAGGTCAAAGGCTGGTCTCCATGGAATGCTCACTGTCCACCTGCCTCCTCCACAGGCCCGGAGGCCCCACGGCCCGGCCGCCTGCACTGCTTGTGTTAAAAATCCACCCCATGGTAACAGTGCTCTCGGGCAGCTGGGCGGGCAGCGTCCAGCGCGTCCCCCCGAGTCCCCACAGGCGGACGCTGGCCTGTGGCTGGAGGGGCCTGTACGGCTCCACCCGAGGAGGCTCTCAGGCCACATGGGGTCGCGGCAGCAGTGGAAACGTAAAGGGTTTCCACAAGCAAGAAGAATGTGCAGGGAGCCCTACGCCAGCAGAGGAGGGTGAGGCTGAAACCGAGCAGGATAAGGCCGACAAGTCAGGGATACGGAGAACAGGGGTCTTCACACCGCAGCTTTGCTGTTTGCTTTAACACAGCAGTTGCTCTCAACATCTCCCAAGGTCACACAGATTTTTGAACAAACGCAAAAGACAAGGAGGAAGAGACAAACCCCGTGGTGAGGTCGAGCGGGTCCCGGGCACTCACCCTGGACTTGGAGCCGCCTGGGCCCATCTCCACGTCCCTCTGCAGCCGCCCCCGCCGGCACCTGCAGAAGCTGCTGAGCCGCAGGATCAAGTAGACAAATGACTTCGGGCTGGGAACGAGACTGAAGGGTGGAGGTAAGGTTTTCCCGTCATCAAAATAAGATAACCAGAGTTTTGAACGCGCAAACTTCCACTCCACATCACTGTCGTCCTGCGTCACAGAAACACAAAAGAAAGAACTCGCTTAAAAGCCGAACAGTCTAGCGAGTGCCCTGGTAATCAGGATCATCGGAGGGCAAGGCCTTCGGAACAGACGTGACTTTGCGCGCTTGTCTGCCCGTTACCCTACCGGTCTGCGTGATAGCTGGAGCTTTTTTCTTCCACATGCCTCCGTTTGTGACTACAAAAATGTAACCAGAATTTCCCGTCCCCACCCAAAACCAAAGAAAGCACAAGGAAAATCCACGCCAGGGAAGGATGAGAGATGAGCCCTTTCTCCCCTCAGGTTCTGCTGATGTAACGGCTGACCCCCTGGGTCGCCTATCTGGGCGGGCCACGGGTGCAGGCGAGGCCGGGCCGGCCGCACACCCCGAGGTGTGCTCGGAGCTCCCCGCGGGCGGGGTGCGGCTCTCTCTGCCACGGAGCTCGGTCCCGGGCCACCCGCGGGGTTCTGAAGTGCAGACTCCGCGGCTGACAACCAAGCACCGGGGGAGACTGAGGCCCTGCTGGAGGCAGCCACACGAGGGTGAAGGAAGAAGCCGTGGTGCACCCAACGCAACGCTGAGCACAGTGGCTTCGAAGACACAAGGACACGGCGGCTCTGCCTGCCCCGAGCCTCTGGCGCACCCCGCCCGGCCCCGGAGCGCCCACCTCGATCTCCTGGTAGGAGCTGTTGATCATGGCAATCAGCATGTTGAGCAGCACGACCACCATGGTGACGTTGTAGATGCCGTACAGCACGTAGCCAATGTTCTCGATGAACTTGTGGTCGTACTTGAGCACGACGGACGTCACTTCAGACAGCCCGAATATGGACCAGAACAAAGTCTTGAAGCTCTCTTCCACGCTGTCGAGAGAATGGGACACACGGCAGAGACGTTGGCTGCTCTCGGCTTTGAAAAGCAGAAACTCGAAGCAAGTGAGGTGTAATTAGCAGCCGGCCAGCAGGCTGTTCCCCTGCGCCATGGCGGGGACCCTCCCCGGCCTCAGAGCCCGTGCGCCGGGGCCGGGCTCGGCCGAGCGACCATCAGGAGCGCCTGGCCACTGCCCCCACCTGCTCGCGACTTTGCCCTAGAAGGACGGAAGCCTGGGGTTTGATCGTGTATGTGGTTTAGAAGCTTAAATTGGGTTTTCTGCAGTGGAACAAAGTTCAGAAAAACGACATGGCCACTTCGAAAAGCAGTTCATAGAGACTCTCCTCTTCGTGCTGTGGTGAGGCGCCTCGAGCACCCGGCTCCTGCCCCTGTGCTCTGCGTCTGCTGAGCCGCCCGCGCCCTGCGCCTCCCACCCACGCCCTCCCCGCGGCCCACTCACGTGGTGAAGGCGGCGTTCACCTTGGCCCCCAGGTAGTAGGAGTAGAGGATGAACATGCCGATCATGAAGGCCAGGAACACCATGATGAAGAGGACCATGAACTTGAAGATGTCCTTGACCGTCCTACCCAGCGAGATCTGCAGGGGCCCGAAGCTCTCGTTGGCCGGGAGGATGTAGGCCACGCGGGAGAAGCTGAGCACCACGGCGATGGCGTACAGCCCCTCAGAGATGAGCTGCGGGTCCGACGGCAGCCACTTGTCTCTGGCTGGAAAACAGGGGGTGACGCATGCTGCCCAGCCTGCCTGGGCACAGAGCGGGCATAGGGGGCGGAGGCTGGGCACACCCGCCTCTTTATCGAGGCTGACTTGACCTGGGGCAGAAACAGAACAAAGCCCCCAGGACAGGGTGTGGCGGGCACCGCTGCTGCCGTCACCTTCTAACAGACGCAGAACCCAAGAGTGGAACGTCTGGAAGCTTGCTCGGGGCCACACGCGTGATAAACACGCAGCGAATTCACAAACTTCCCTCCTGGTGGCAGTTTCTGACTACGCTGGAATAAATCTAAATAAACAGGTCACTGAGACAGTCAAGATACACATCAGGCAAGACACACCCTGATGAAGTACTGGGAGTGGACCAGTGGCACCGGTTTTGGGGTCCAGCGCAGCCCCCCGGCTGCTGAGGCCGAAGCCCTGAGGGGCGGCCCCGCCCCGGTCTCACCGGCCAAGCTGCGAAGGCTGCCCCACAGCTGAGCCCAGACAAGCTCTGCTCTGTGCCACGAAAGCTAGACAGTAACTTCCAGATTCTTTTCCAAATTTAGTGTCTGCAAGTAAATGAAAACCCGCAGAGGCAGCCCCCGTCCGGCCCAGGGAGGAGGCTGGCGCCTCCTGCGGGGGTGCTGCTGAGGCTGCAGCTGCTCCCCAGGAGAGGATCCGTGAGCTGTGTCCCGGCCACCCCCCCCCTCACCAGGCACTGAAGCCTCACTCTCATCACCGCTCAACCGCCCAGCCCTCGGGCTCTCAGCTTCCACCTCTGGCAGTTTTCAAGCTCGTTCCCCCTAATGAGGATGGTTTCACGCCCTACGCAGGCGTAAGAGCCACTGTGGTCAGACTTAGAGGTGATCTGAGCCTGCGTCGCCTCCTTGGTGCCCACGGGAAGACGGAGGCAGAGAACACTGGACAGTCACACACGGGGGCTCCAGCCTGACGCGCGTTCTCCCACAGGCCCTGACGCCGCTCCCACTGAACCTCCTTTTCCTGGCCTTTCTTCCAGGGGGGCCCAGCACCCCAGACACAGGCCCTGCTGCTCACTCACCGTACGTGAAGTACCGGACCTCCGGCGGGAGGGCGGCCTGGCTCAGGTCGCTCTCCTGCACGTGGCTGTCCACATACTGCTGTGCCCTCGTGGCCTGCAGGAAAGCCAGGAACCTGGCGGTGAAGGCGGCGATGAAGATGGAGAGCATCCCAAAGTCCAGCACGTTCCACAGCTGCAGGACATACTCACGTGGCCCCTCCAGCCAGAGCTCCTTGCACTCGGACCACATCATCCCTGCGCACGGCAGGGGTGTCAGCTGGCAGGGAACTACCACCCCATCCCGGCTTCGACACCCCGTCCTGGCCCCGACACCACGCGGGTCTAGGTCAGTGGCCGACGGGGCTGGTTGTGCCTATCTCCCCATGCTGCGCTGTCCAGCACAGCCACTCGAGGGGCTGCGGTGGGCAGGTAACAAACCGAGCATGGAAAGTGCCTAGAGCCTTGAACCACACGCGGCTCTCTAGTCGCCAGTCACAGCCATGGTGCCACCAAGTGTGGCCGACAGGACAGAGCCCACCGCGTGGAGGCCACACTTGCAGCCCGAGCTCTCGGGCTCTGCCTCACTGGGCGAAGGGCGGCCTTTGGGGAGACCAGGCAGCCCAGTCATCCCCCATCTGTCACTGCCTGCCCGGCAACGGCAACGTGGACACCCAGCACATTCGGGGGGACAGAGACTGGATGGAGACACCACTCTGGGCGGAAGCCGGCGGTTCGGGGAGGCTGAGGACTCACCGAGGACCCAGACCATGATGAGCATCTCGGTCCACGTGAAGCGGGTGGTCTTCACCCTGAAGACCTGCCTGGGGTGGTCGGTCACGGTGACATTGGGCAGCGTGCTGACGCCTTCAAACCTGTCGGAGGCATTGAACACCAGGAGGCCCAGGAAGATGATGAAGGAGGCGGCGTGGGCCACAAACTTCATGAAGGGGCTCCGCAGGGTCCTCCCCAGCTGCACGGAGACAGACGGACGGACAGACAGGCGGGGCGCCCTGGCATGAGCGCTCAGCGGAACGCGGCAGCGCTGCCTGTGTGGGACGCCTGTGCCCTGCGGCGGAGGGGCCACTGGGGCCACCGCACAGACGTGCTTCCGGGGCTCACGGGGGCGCTGGTCACCACCACGTGTCCATGAGAGGCTGTGAATGGTGTGGGGCCCCCAGCCCCCTTGTTCTCAGGGCTCTGCTTGGTACCCAAAGTTTCTGCTGGTCAAGCTAAATGTAGGGGCAGCAGGGGCCTTTCACCAGGACGAAAGTCTGGTATGAGGACATCTGCTGAAAACAGCAGGCAGACATCGTGGCCAGGTTAGCGTGACCAGCGAGACCACCCTGGCAGGACATCACGTGTAAACAGAGACTAGAGACGGGGTGTTTGATCAGCAGCAGCAAGGGCGCCCCCCAGGCAACAGCCCTACGCACTCCCCTGAGCCTGTGCCACACATGTATGCACCCCCATCCACATCCCACCATGCACACCCTCCTCACATCCCTCCACGGCCTCACCCACCTCCCCGGAACCTGACCCCCAATAACTGAGGCTGCGGGGTGCTGTATCGCCACAAGTGTGAGCCCCTCAAGGTCTCTTTACTTGGGCTTTGAATTGTCTTTCCTCCCAGCCATGCCGCTCCCAACGCTGCCACCCCAGCAGGGGAAAGAACAGCAAGAATTTTAGGGTTCAGGAGTAGACTGGAATTTGTGGCTGTCACTTTATAATGAGAATGCCATCATGCTTCTGCAGCACGAATTAATTTGAAGTCGCCCCTGACTTTAGAAAATCATGTACTAGTAAAGACCACTTCCAAAGCGCAGCCTACACTATTTCAAGGTAAGTCTTTAAAGTCCCCCCTGACAGGGCGCTCTTCGGGGCCCGTGGCCTAGAAATAGCAAACAAGGCCCTGTGCAGGGGCGTCCAGGCCCCGCAGGCTGCTCTGGGGCTCAGCGGTCTCTGGGCAGCTCTGGGGGAGCTGCCCCCGACAAGCCCTCTGCCCCGCAGGCCCCTAGCAGCGGCCGAGACCGTGCACTGCTGGGCTGTCATGGTGCGCGCCCCTCCCCTGTGGGACATAGCAAAATGGCCACGTCTGCCTGCAGCTGGGCTGCCCTATGGCTGCCAGGCCTCACCCACCCTTCCCCACCCGCGAGTCGCCAGCGCAGGGCTCCTCCAGATGCTCGCCCCTTGCCTGGCCTGGTGGGTCATGCCGCCCAAAGGGAAACTGGCCAGGCCGCCCTCTGGCTGGCTCCCGGGAGGGACGTCCTGGGCAGATGGATCCTGCCCCGGTGCCCCTCACGGCTCTGGTCTGCAGCGCTGGCCTTTGGGGAATCCTCAGGTGCTTTCCATGACACGTCACAAAGGAACGGGGTCAGTCACCAAAACTGATCTAAGTGACGACTTTCTGCCTCAAGCCCAGAGGTGCCTGCGGCCGGCCTGAGTGGGCCCCACGTGGCAGGGCCCTGGGGAGCCGAGCCAGGATGGCGAATTTCAGGGTCATCTGTAAGGGCCCAGCCTCATGTCCCCAAAACTGCCCGTGATCCCAGCAAAGTCAGAGCTGGAACCCAGAAGTGGCCGGGAGTGCAGGCCAGCAGCCCTTGGGTAGAGCGAGCGGATGGGCCAGCAATAGCCCTTAAGCTGGAAGAAATCCCCTGCCGCCCTCTGGGGTCTCGCCAGCCCCCTCCCGTCCTGGGCCTCTCCTGCACCTGCGGCTGCATCTACTCAGCCATCAAGACTTCTTTGCGGGCAGCCGCCTCCTGCCTCCCGAGGTGTTATCCTAAGAAGCCAGTGTCACATGAGCTCCACAGCCCCGAGGCCCCCCTCACCCCTCCTCACCCCTTACTTGAATGATGCAGTCATCAAAAGGCAGGGTTCCTGTTCCTGAGTCAAGGAGCATTCAGGGTGAAGTGGCTAAGAGCCCCCCTGGGGCGGGGCGGGGGGAGGGTGCCCAGATGCTTACCCGGCTGCAGGGCGCGATCCAGTAGCCTATGGCCAGGAACGGGAGGCCCAGGGCCACCACCAGCACCACCAGACACTTGACGGCCACCGTCTGCTCCCGCAGGCCCGAGAGGTTCTCGTACCAGATGGTCAGGAGCTGCTGCTGGCAGTTGGGGTGAGCCACAAACTGCGGGCAGAGAGAGAGTGGGTGCTGGGCAGCCCGTGTCGGCCTGATGACTAAGGACCCGACTCCTGGGGTCGCCACCACCAGGACGAGCTTCCAGACGGAGCTGATAAGCAGCCCCTGTCCAGCAGCCGGCTCGCTGGGTTACGCAGATGCCTGGCGCCCCCACGGCCTGCCCCACGGGGTTCTGGGGACGGTGCCTGCAGATGTGGACAGAGGGAGGGCCGCCCTGAAAGGACCGGAAGGCTGTGCCTCTTTGCACCGCCGTGTTACTGCTGCATCTTCCCCCTCGCAAACCTTGGGCCACGGGAGAGCGGCGGTCCTGGCCCTGTCCAGACCTGGCCGCCAGCCCCGGGGAAGCCAGGATAGAGCCTGGCAGTGGGCTGCGGGGCCGCCCTCCTCGTCCAGGCCAAGCTGCGGGGGAGGCCAGCGGGCAGACCAGCTGGCCCGCGAGACAGGGCCCCTCCGCCGCCCGTCACTGCTCTGTGGCAGCTGAGACCCGTCACAGCGACCGTCATCGCGGGCCTGCGAGCAGTGAGTCCCCGCACGTGCATGTCTGCAGGGGCGTCTCCACCGGGACGGGCGAGAGGCAGCTGTTTCCACCTCTGGCAGCTGCGTGATCTGCTCTGTAACCTGAGACTTAAACTCCGCTGGCTTAGGGGCCCCAGTTTCTTTGTAAACCCGAACTCTCACCCTTCACCCCATGTCGCCGGGGACATGGACACCAACGCAGGCTTGTTTCAAGGGTCACTTGAGAGTCTATGTACAAAAGTGGATGCGTTTCTAGTAACGATTACGACGAGTAAACAACTTACAACGTTCTTTTCCGCAACCTAATGCATCGCCATCCCACCACAGCCCCAGGCAAGGGACACTTGCCCCACTTTCGTGTCACAGATCTGAGATTTAAGACTCAGCCGAGCCTCGGCCCACGGAGGGGAGAGGAAGGGCCGGGGGCTGGGCCTGTGGCCCCAGCTTCCCCTCGCTTCTCCTTCCCACGAAAGGAAACCTCTCACGAACGGCTTCCCCCGTTGTTCTAGTGATGCCCGGGGTCCGGCGCTCGCGATGCCCGTCTGCACACCCAGCATGTCTCGGGGAGGGGGCACCCACCTTCTTCACCTCGTACTTGATGGCCAGCTTGACGCGGCTCAGTGAGGCCTTGCGCCTGTGCAGCTCCGGAGGGGTGGGCTCTGCTGCCTCCAGGTCCCCGTTGAGAATGGCGTCCACCTCCTCCGAGTCCCGGCATAGGTCCAGCACGCCCACCACAAAGTCCTTGCACTGCATGGAGAGCTTCCGGTAGTCGTTCTGAGAACAGAAGGAGTTTCCCACAGGGAGTCTGCTTCGGTTCAAGGCTGCGTAACTAGGGCAGGCTTGCCGGGCTACGCAGACGCCTCGCACCCCCATGGCCCGCCCCACGGGGCTCTGGGAATTGTGCCACAGATGTGGACAGAGGGAGGGCTGCCCTGAAAGGACCGGAAGGCTGCGCCTCTTTGCACCAACAAGTAATAGTTCTCCTGAGTCAAAGCAAGACTTTCCATGAGGAAAATTTTCCTCAAATGGTAATTCTTTTAAGGTGGCAATTTGAGCTGGGGGTCAAGGACAGGTGGACACTACCGGTCCAGGGCATGCACCTGGCCTTGCTGGACTCACTGCTGCCCTAGCCAGAGCCAGCACCTGCCGTGCCAGAAAGGCATGGCTGGACCCCAGCTCGGGCCGGGTGGGGCACCCCAGCAGGGCTGCTGCTTGAGTTGAGTTTGAGAATGGCTGTTTGCAGGGAAAGTGGACAGTGCCCGCAGGGACTCTCCCGCCCACAGCGACTCTGGTCAGAGCCACTGAACCCTCAGGGGTGCAGGACATCATGCTTGAGAGAAGAGCTTCAGGTCATTGGAGGTAACACCCTGCTGAGAATAATCTGCATCTCCCTTCACTAGCACAGCTGACAGAGCCTGCAGGGGGCAGTCAGCCAGTCAGCCAGTCGCAGGCCCCACCCAGCTGGGGCTGCAGTCCTGCCCACGAGAGCCTCCTGGGGTCTCGCTTCCAGAAACCCCAGCTCCGCTCGAGGACTCTTGCCGAATCCTAGCCCCCTAAGCAAGTTAACCAGGTGACACTCTAATTCGGTGCTGGAAGCACACGGATTCCTCACTGCAGCGTGTCCCCAGACGCTGCGTGGATACGGTCAGTGACACTCGGGGCAGCGGGACTTCCGGACTTTCAAAATCACACACAAAAAAGGACACGAGTAATCTCAGCTTTCCCCATAAATAATTTACATGATGGGCAAAATCCCAGAACCAGCCAAAATAAGAGGAGAGATTTAAGACTACCCCAAGCAGGGCCGAGTCCATTTCAGAGACAGGAGTCCAGGCAAGAGCCACTAGTTAGCCCTGCCCCGCGCCAGCAGACAGAATGAACAAAAGCTTCAGTCTTCGGTTTCCACGCAGAATGCCGACCACACGTCCATCTGCCCTCCGTTCCTGGGAGACCCCGGAGAGCTTCATCACAACACCCAGAAAGACCATCCAAGCCGTGTCTGATTCCACGTGAAGCTCCGGTGAAACGGCCTCAAGGTTCTCAGCGCAACCTGTTCTGTAAGCGGGTGGCGGGGGCGGGGGGGGGCATTTCTCCAGAGCAGACAGGGGAGGCTGGTCTCCACCCTCAGCCTCAGCAGCCACTTACCAGCAACCCTGGACAACCCTGACTTTAAAGACTGACTGTCCCATCCTAAAGGCATCTGGCCACTGGCCTTTCCACAGCCACAGAAAGCCAGGCAGGGAGCAGGACGGGAAACCAGCCCGGACAGGCTAACGTGCTGCTTTTACCACTCTCAGCCCTCGCAGCTGGAGGGAGCGCAGCCGGGAGGAAGCACTGTGCTGAGGTGGCAGCTCTGGCGGGCGGCGCGGCCCTCGCTGCACCACAGGCTGCCCGCACCCTTCACCGCTGCCCGGCCTGACAGGCTGCCCTGCCCCACCCTTCACTGCCATCTGGGCTGTGCGCTGACCAGTGTCTGCTCCTTCAGCTCTGCCGACTGCTGTGTGTTCCCTGCCCGGCCTCACAGGCTTCCCGAGCAAGAACCCCGGCCGGTGCCGCATCACCGCGCAGCACCACTGCCCCGTATGCTCGCGTGTGGATGAGGCCGTGACCTGAGGCTGTTTCTCAGACGGGCCCAGAGCACTGGCAGGTCCAATGGGCATCGAGGGGCTGCACCTAGCCGTGCCGCAGACCTTCCCCGAGCCTGCGCTGGGTCTTCAGCCCAGGGTCATGACCTTCAGCCCGAGGGGGACCATGGAGAGGACCTGCTGGCCTTGCTGGCCACCCTCTGGGCTCAGCCGCAAACATCACCACTGGCAGCAAACGGCTGACTCGGCCCTGGGGATGTCCCTCTGTCTAGAGTCTCCTTTAGAGACCTCGATGGAGGACAAGTAAAACGCCGAGTCAAGGTTTGAGTGACATTTTAAATAGCGGCAAGTGAACCTGCTCAGAATTAATTCTTCCATTATCATGTCCAAGTAAAGAAGTGACGTTTGCAGCTGTTTCCCGCGATCGCTCTGCCTCTCTCTGCCCTTTAATATTTCACATTGGGCTCAAGGAAAGAAGCCTTTCCGGACACCACACAACGCACTTCTGCAGAGGGTGAGGGAGAAAGTAACGTCCTCTTTGTTCTTTACACGCACTCACATTTTCCAAAAAAAAAAATTCAAGAAATACAATTTTTACGGCAGAACAAATACAGTTATACTAAGTCTGTGTTTCTGCCCGGACAAGATGCTGGCCGTGGACTCTCCACGGAACTGGGTGTGTGGAGGGGGCAAAGCCACGGAATGTTCCACCGCTTCTCGTGGCAGCCCCTGGCCTGGGCTCGCCGCTGGCAGCATCTGAATGCTCGCTCGTTGCTCTGACCCCACGGCGCTGAGCCGAGACCAGCCCGGCATCAAGAGGGGCTGTGGGGCTGGCCTTGGGGGAGCCGGAGGGGAGACCAGAGCCACAGGGAGCCTGACCCAGGGGGCCCCAAAGCCTGCCCAGACCGAGGGGTCGCACGCCAGGCACAGGGGGTGTATTGTGTATTCATGGAAATACCGTCTCACCAGAGATGATGTCTGAAAAGCGGGCATCAGAACAAGCCCCTCAGGGGGCCGCCTGCCCCCTCACGCTGAGCTCCCGGGTATGGGCTTGGGAGGAGCCACTTGTCACATCAGCCCCGCGGCTTTAGAAATCCGCCGTGCGGCCTTTGATCGTCCATGTGATGGGCGAGAAACGTGTGCCCAACACACAGCCCTTCACAGCCAAGGCGGGGTGCCCTCGGGAGGCGCGGGGGAGGCCCTCAAGCTCACACCACAGCACCCCTAACCAAAGCGCCGCCACGTCTGCTAGTGGTCACCAGAGTGGGCGCCGGGTGGCATGGGGTCCCTGCAGCAGCCCCGCATGGCACCCGGGCGGGGGCCGCCCGCCACCCTCCTGGCTCCCGCGGCCAAACCCACGCCGGGGCGCCGGGCCCTCCGTGGGCGCTGGCCTGCTGTGCCGGGCCTGCCGCGCTGGGCCTGCTGGGCGCCGGGCGCTGCCGTGGGCGCCGGGCCTGCCGTGGGCGCTGGGCCTGCTGTGGGCGCCGGGCCTGCCGCGCTGGGCCTGCTGTGGGCAGCGGCCGCCGCGCAGGGCCTACCTTGAACTCCTTCTCGATGTTGGCCAGCTTGGCCAGCTCGTTGCTGAGCTCCAGGGCGGTGAGCACGGGGTCCTCGCTGGACAGCGACAGGTAGGCCGGGCTGGCCAGGCCCTTGTAGGCGTTGATCCTGGAGCGCGAGTGGCTGAAGGAGTCGAGGCGCTGCCGGTCGCCGCAGTCGGCGCAGCGGCAGAAGTAGTCGTGCGGCCGCTCGATGCGCGCGCCCTTGAGCAGCAGCATGTGCACCACCTCGTACTTCTGGCAGTGCGCGGCCAGGATGATGGGCGTGATGTCGGGCGAGAAGCGCGTGCCGTCCTCGTCGTAGGCGTAGAAGTCGTCGTCCTGCAGCTCCTGCTCGCAGGGGCTCAGCGTCAGGCGCCCGCTGGCCGCGAAGCCGGGGTGGTTGAGGATGGCCTCCACGATGCGCACGTAGCCCTTGCTGATGGCCAGCAGCAGCGCGTCGCCGATGCGCGCCAGGTTCTCGCGCTTGAGCAGCAGCTCGGTGACCTCCAGGTGCTCGTTGCCCACGGCCAGCTGCAGCGCGTTCTGGCCCATGTAGTCCACGCAGTTGACGTTCAGCGAGCGCGACTCCTCCAGCATCTTGCGCACCACCGGGATGTTGCCGTACTCGGCGGCGTCGAGGAAGCGCTCCTCCTCGGCCGTCAGGCTGCAGCCGCGCGCGCGTGAACATGAAGGCCGGGCCGCGCACCGCCTGCCGCCGGCCCTTCTCGCGCGCCCCCGCCGCGCGCCCCCGCGGGCCCGGGCTGCCCTCCATGGACCTGCGGGGAGAGGAGGGCGGTGGGTGGCCGGCGCCCGAGAGCCGAGCCCGCGGGCCCCTGGCCCGAGCCCGAGACGCGCCCCGGAGCCGGAGACCCGCCCCCGGGGCAAGGCCGGGCGGGGGGCGCTGGGCGGGGCGCCGGCTCCGCGGGCCAGGACGGGGATTCCCCCAGGAAGCGTCCCCGCCACCGCGCGTTTTCAACCCAGTAAAACCCCTGACCGGGTGAGGCCAGCGTGGGGCCAAGCGCCGTCCTCCAGGCCTCACCTCTGCCTTTCAGGGTGTCTCTGCACCCCCGCGCCCCCCCGCCTGCACCCAACCTCACGGAGCCTCCGCCGGGGACGGCCGGGCCGCGCGGGGCGGGGGGACCGCGGGGAGCGGCCTCGGGAGCCGTGACCTCCGCAGCGCCAGGCGGTGCCGCCTCCCCCGAAAGCTCGGTCGCGGCGCGGCCGACGGTCAGGGCCCCGGCCCCGCCAGCCGCCCCGGCCTCCGCCCGCGCGTGGAAACGCGCTCAGCTCCCGGTTCCCTCGCGAGTCCAGACGGCGCCCAGGAGACAGTGTCCACGCCGGACCTGTCAGCCGCGCCAGCCCCGCACTTTGCCGCCCTGACGTCTCCCGGGGCGAAACCCTCAGTCACGTCCCTTGTCAGTGTCCGGTGTCGGCTGGTGCCACGCGCTGCACGAAGGCAGCAGAGAAAGGCCGCGCCGCGCTGCGTTCAAAGCCACTAAGAGTGACAAGCTCGGGCGAGCTCCGGGAAACGCTCCTCTCCCTGCGCGCTGCGGGCGCCTCCGGCCTTGACAGCGGGGTTCCCGGGGCAGTGGGCCCGGCGAGCACCCCGGAGACCCCCGAGGCGAGCAGCCCCACCTTCTCCTCAGCTGCGAGGCCCAGGCTCCAGGCGAGGGGTCCCCAGATGGAGACCAGGAGCCGCCAGGTCACGGCCGAGAGGCCCAGGGGAGCTTGCTGAGCTGTCCGAGGGCAGAGGGCCTGGCCGCCCCCTTCCAGCTGACAGGTGTCAGCCGATCTGCTTCCAAAGGTCAAAGGTGCATTATGCACACACACGTGCGCACACTTATGCACACACATCATTTGTGCTCACACATATTCTTGCAGCAAAGTCCAGGAGCAAGGCGCGCTGTCACTGTGCCGGGCATCAGCTCCGGAGGGGGGGACCGTGCGGGGGCCGCGCAGGGGGCCGCTGAGCGCTGCTTGCCGGCGACTCCCCCTGCATATCCCGAATACTTTCAAGTATTTTGAGTGTTTTATTAAGATTTATGTTTTGAACTGCTTTGCTTTTTATCCCTTCGTGGCGCCCACTAGCCGCCACTGCGGGGGTGTGCGCTGGCACCACGACGATTTCTAGGGGGACAAGACCGGAAAGAGACGGCGCCCCGAGCTGCATAGACGAGGCCCCGGCTTCCAGACCAAGCTGCGAGACGACGGCTTCGGGGAGCCCGAGGGCGCGGCCATGGCCCAACTTGTGCTGCCCCTGCAGCGGCGGAGCCGCCCGCCCGGCATTTCTCTAAGGCCCACGCGGGCGCTTCCCGTGGCCTGCAGCTCTCTGGGCGCCAGGGGAGGCCAGTGTCAGCGGCGGGTGTCCACGGTCTCTGACAGCAGGGGTGGGGCGGGCGGGGCGGGGGACACCCGGGCGGGGCCCGGGTCTCTGCAATCCCAGCCGGGGGCTCCGCGCACCGAGGACAGTCACCTCTCGGGAAGGGCTTTTCAGCCAACCGTCGCAACCTGCACAGAAAACCACTTAGAAAAACCTTTTCTCCCAAAAGAGCAATTTGACAAGATCAAGAAATAATTCTTTCATGCATTTTCTTTGAATTTTTTAGCATTTTGAGGTTCTTCCTTGGTGTTTCCTCTTTGGGACGTGGAGCGCGCGCCTGAGCTCAGGCGAGGCTGACACCCCGGAGACCGACACCCCGGGAGGCCTACCCCCCAGGAGGCTGACGCCCTGGCAAGGCCGACACCCCGGCACCCGCGGGTCTTCCGGCGCTGGAGGCGCCCGGGTCAGATCCACCCCGCGGCCCGGCCCCCGGCGCTGACCCGGCCCCGCCGCCCGCCCGGGAAGCGTGTCCTCTGACCCGCGGGGCGCTGGCTGTGCGCCCGGCGGAGGAGGGGTCCGCGCTGGACTCCCCACCCCTGCGGGCCGGGGCTGGAAGGACCCGCGGAGCTGCGCGGCTCCCGTGGCCTGGGCCAGCCCCTCGGGGTGCTGGCGCGGGGTCCGGCGGCGAGCGCTGTGGCCCCCCGCGCGGCGGGAGCTGGAGCTGGGGCTCCTTGGGGTGACAGGGCGGGTGGGCCTCGTGGGGACCCCCTCCCTCCCTCCCTCCTGCCGGCGCCCCCCGTGGGACAGCCTGGCGGCCCGCCCGGCGCTCAAGATGGGGCGCGGGGACAGGCCACGGGCCGAGGGCCTCACCGCGGGCCAGGCGCCCTTCCCCAGACAAGCGCCGCCCAGACCCGCGGCCTTTCTCCGCGGTTGGTCGGGGTGAGGGCGCCTGCTCGGGGCTCTTGAGGCGTCCCCTGGCCCCGCGGAGGAGCCCCGCGGCAGCTGGCGGGCCTGGAACGTGCCGGAACGGCCCGCGGCCGCAGGGGCGCTGCCCGGCGCCCCTTGGTGTTTCCTTGGGGCCCGCCTTGGGGCCCACCGTCCCGCCCTCCGGGGCGGAGCCTGTGCCGCTGCCCGGTCCGTGCCCGGTCCGCTGCCCGCCACGCCCAGCGCCCGGAGGCCGGAGGGCCACGCCCGCCACGCCGTCTCCACGCGCGGGGTTTGCTCCAGAAAGGAGGCGTGACCGCCACGGCCTCTGCCTCGCCACCGCGTCTTCCCGCCACAGTGAGGCTCACGCTGCCTGGAAGCTGGTTCGCGCCGGGGTTCGTTTTAATCCTGTTTGTGCAGTGGGGGGCCCGCTGGGGGACCCCCAGGGAGCCGGCTTTGGCTGGTGTCCACTCATCAGAGGTCCCTCCCACAGGACCCGGCATCACAAGCACAACTTCGCCCTCAGGTCACTCAAACGGGCCCAAGCACCTCCTCCCCAGACCAGCTCTCCCCCGAAACACCCACACCTGGGGCCAGCCACGCAGATGGGGCGACTGCGGGTTACCTGGGCCTCCCGGTGGACCTGCCGCAGTCCTGACCTTCTCCTGCGGCCTATCACAGCCCCCACCCGGGGAAACCACCATGCAGCTGCCCAGCAGCTTGGGGCCTCACATCCCCTCCTGGCACCCCCTCCTCGCCCTGCCATGGCGCACTCACTGAGGCAAGGTGGTGGGGGCGGGTCACGGGGGTCTGGTCACAGGGCACACTGAGGGCAAGGCCCTTCCTGACACCTTCCAGAAGCTTCTGAAGGGAAGGACGGACATTTTAAGCCACATGCAAAAGAAATCCAGGAGGGTGCCTTCCGGGAAGAGCTTCCATGAGGCGGCAGGGGTGGGGCACGGGAGGTCCCAAGAGCAAGGGGTTGGAGGGGCGCGGGGGTGTCCTGGGTGGTGGGTGCTGGGTGCTGCTCCGACAGTTTGCAAACATAATGAACCCCACGAAAATGACCATCAGCGCCGCACAGGGAAGCCGCTCCCCGGGGCAGCTAATAATAGAAAGCTTCCACTGCTGATTTCTGGTGTCCCTGCTGTTCCGGACCTGGCCTGGACCGGGACGGCTGCCCAGCAACGCCACCAGCCTGTTCCTGGCACGGCCCAACGGAGGTCTCGCTTCGCCTCTCGCGCCCGTGGGTAGAGAACCTTCCTCCACTGAGGCTTTATCTTTTGATTTTCGGATTAAAGCCACATGCTTAAGGGCCACATGTGATGAGGTGCCACGGAGAAGAAGCCAGTCGGGCGGCCCCTGGCCTGGTCCCACAGCTGAAGTCTGTCCTCTCAGCGCAGAGCGACCAGGTGGGGCAGCTCGGGACAGCCTTGCTCCTGCAGGACGGGCAGAGAGGCCAGGGGTGGGGACGTGCTGCCTGTAATGGGAGGGCCTGGGGGCACCACGGGCCAGACTGGCCAGATGGAAAAGCGAGTAGGACCTGCGCCAGGCTAACCTGGTGGAGAGCAGGGAGGAGGCTGGGGCAGGGAGGTGAGGGCAGAGGTGGCCTGGCGTGGACAGGCCATGGTCCAGAGGGCCCTGGAGGCCGCAGGGCAGCAGCAGGTCAGACGCTCCGGCCTGGGTTTATCGAGTGACTTAGAGAGTGACTGCACATCACCATTTCCTCACCTGCCAACTCCCCCTCAGGAGACGTGCACCCACGGTGGGGTCCCAGCCAGCCTGAGGGACGGCGTGGTTGCCTGCGGCCCAGGCAGCAACCACGCTTCGTCCTCATTCATTTGGGCCACGTTTCCTTGGAAGAAAAACTAAATGGAACTCTCTTTCCTGGACGTGTCTCTGCTAAGGAGAAGCGGCTGTGGGAGCCGGGCCCCCCCCCCCTCAGGAGGAGGCCCAGGTGTCCCTGCTGACTGACTGGCTGCGGCCAGCGCCCCTGCTCAGGGAAGACTTGCTGGGCGCCTGCTCCAGCACCGGCCCTCCCTGCTGGCTCCCTCCGCCTGCTCTCTAAACAGAGCCGCTCTCCCGGGGAGCAGCCCGCAGGCTGGAGGCTCCTTCTTTGGGTAACAGGCGCACTCCCCACTTGCTGTCTGCCAGTCAGCTGACTGTGGGGCTCTCCCCAGCTGAAACCGCCTTCCCATCTCCTGCTGGACGCCCCATCAGAATCATCTGAAAGGCCAGAGCCTCCTCTTGTCGGATTCTTTCCAACCACCTCAAAATGACCAAGTCATCTCTGACCCGACTTTCTCTTTAAAACCCTCCTTGGCAATTAGCTGCCAAACCCCAGATGTTCCTGTCTTCTCTCTTCCAGCCTCTCTACTCCACTCCGGCCGGTGGGCGAGGCTCGGCCTGCTGCCTACACCCTGCCGCTGTGGGACAAGGCCTTCACCCCCCGCGGCTCTGATCCACCCCACACCGCCCTGAAGCAAACTCTGCTCCCTGCTGCCTCCTCCTGCACACAGCCCTCCAGC